TGCTAATTAATCTGTGATTCAGGTGATTTGCATAATCAAAATGTACCCAGAAATAAATACATTAATCTACTATTCAGTTTAAGCCTGACCCTTGTTAACCTTTCCAAATGAGCTGAAAGATATTGATCCATGCAATTGATTTTCAAATGATTAACTCATGTTAATCTTCATGGTGAAAGATTCAAAGATAATAACAATCAGTTAACAATTAGGTTAACAAAGATTCATTTGAATTGTTATTACTTTTTTTCCTCTTCCACTATGATGTTTTCAATATATCATAAACTCACTTGATTACTGATTAATGATTCAAGATGATGATTAACAGATAGATAATAATACAATAGATTGTTAATTGTTACAATATTTTAGCAACAGTAATAAAACCAATATCTCATGAGAAAATTGAATTTTTCAAAAATGAAAGGGAAAGTCTTGATTTCCCATGGTTATCATAATGATTAAATTGATTACCTTCCAATTGAAATTTAATCTTAAAATTAACTTTATCTTAATCTAAACATTACATCCTTAAATTAATGATTTTTTCAGAACTCTATTACCACCATTGGTTGATTGCTTGAGAAAAAAAAAATCAAATCTATTTGGTTGACAATCTAATTCATACCTGAATGTTTTTTTATATTTCTCATGATTATATTGTAGGTTTATCGGTCTATCTACTTTAATGGTAATTAACCATTCGAGTCAACTAATAATAATTAGAGTAATCGATCTAATTTGATTAAATTTTATCATGATTTTATTCAGTTTACAACAATCAAGTGTATCATCATCTTAATGAGGATGACCATCAACTGAATCATTTCAATTCCTGATTGTGTTTGTTTTTTTTATCCCAAGTTGAGATGAAATTTTCTTGTTTATCATCAATGAATTAATGAATTTTTGACACCATTTCTTGGTATTTATTTTTAAATAATATTGTATCAATTAGTAATTAACTGATTAATGAATGAGAATTGAATGTAATCCAATACAAATACTACATGTATCTATGTTTTGTGTTGATTGTACATGATGATGATGACATGAATTTTATCATGAAATGATAATCATGATAATGCTGATGAAATCTCAAAGTAAATTAATACTTTTTAATTACCTGAAGGTAAAGAAAGAAAAGTTAATCACAATCAAATGAAACCTCTTGTTGATAAGTTACAACTTGGATTCAATTTAATTTTCACTGATACAATTCAATAATCAATATAATTGAATCAAAAATATAAGTGGTAAAAAAAAATTAGTTAATTTGATTACCTTATTTAAGTGTTTGTGTAACAATTTATTTGCCAAACTTAAATTAATGTAAACTGGTTTATCTCAAGTTGATCACAATTTAATGAATCAACTCAATGATAAATCACCCTCAGGCTGGGTGGGGTAATATATATACCTGAAGATACACCAAGTGTCAACAAGTTAAATGTGTGTCATAATCTGGATTACATTGGATTAAGTGGATTAACTGATTTGAAAATTGTTTTGAGAGTTAAAAAGATGAATAAAAAAAATTTGATTCTTAAAAAAACCAATGACCTTTGGCCTTTTTTTTTGGCTCAAATTTTGTTTCTCTAACCTTTCATCTTCCCATTGCAATGATTACTGCTTATTGCAAATTCTTTGCAAAGTTACCTGTGAAAAAAAAACGCAGAAAATGCCCCGAGGGCAATATTTTCAAGAGAAAGAGGAAGAAAGGGAAACTGTGAGACTTTCCCTTAACCAAAGTGCTGATTCTTACAGGTAACTTACCTGTAACATGCTTATTTACCTTGTTACTTTGTTTCTTACCTTTGCCAACACCTAATTGATCAATTGTTGAATTGATTTAACTTGATGATGAACAAGATATTTGGTCTCATCACGAATTAACTTTCATCCTTGTTAATCTAAAATAATAATAATCTAAATTGTAATATCAATTACCTTTACCTGTTTATCTTGATCATCTTGTTGATCATCATCATCGTCTTCATCTTGATCCTCATCACCAATATCTTGGTTCCTTATTATTATTACCCAGTCATTCATAAATTATGGTTATTGTTTTCTTGTTGTTGTTGCCTCTTAATTTTAAAACCTTGAACAATTTAAGGTGAATTTAAATCTATTATCGTGAAAAAGTATCTCATTAAAATTAACAATCTATTTTGATTGTCCAATTAATTTATTCCCTTAACTAGTCAATGAAAATAACCTACTAGTTAAATGAAAAAATAAATAAATCCAATGATCCGCTTTTGATTATCACGATTTAGCTCATTAATGATTAGGTAAACAAATGATTAACATCAAACATGAATCATAATATTAATCAACTTAAATTATTAATTGATTGTTTGTTTGTTGATGTTTCTGTCATTATGATTAACTAACTGAGTATTTTAAATAAACCGTGAGATTCATTGGTTTGATTATTAATTGTTAATTAATTTCTTTCACTTGCAATTTGACTTTAAAGAGATGATTTAAATTTGATTGTTTCTTTATTTATCCAATCAATTTCATCGAGATGAAATTAACCTTGTTGGTGATAATCCTAATCCTTCAACAATCCTTTAAATCATTTCAATTAATCTTCTAATTATTGATGGTAATCATTTAATTACTTAAAAAGGAAAGTCATCATTGAATTTTCCTAAATTAGTTAATTGCTAATTTCTTTATATATATAAATTGTTACATTATTACTGAGGAAGTTAATTGTAATAACAACAACATACAAGGTTTAATAATCGACAGGATAATTTACTAATTAGTTGGTTGTTTTTTTTCATATATTGATTAGCAAGGTTTTCACAATCAACCCAAAAAAATTAGTTAATTTTTCATAGTTTTTGTTTACTCAAAATTGATCAACAGAATTGAATTGATCTTGAATTTGATGATTATATTTCTTGTTATATGGTGATTGAACTTTTTGTTATTCTATTAAAATTAAACAGCAACAATTGACTTTCACGGTTAATCATTTTATTTTGTGGATGTTAAATTGTTTGCCATTTTATTAGTAGCAATTTAAGTCACTTTTCCTGATTATAAGTATATGTATTGACCTTTCATCTTGAAGTAAACAAAAATGACCATCAACATGAAATAAGATTGGAAACATAATATAAATATAAACTGTAAATTGAACTGAACATGGATGATAATGATGATGAAAATGATTTGATTGTTGTTTAAATAGATGATGATTTACCTCAATTTTCAACTTCTTGCTGTGATTATCACAATCAGTTTCCAATCTCACTCCCATTAACACTCCATGAACCTGATAGATGATGAAACAAACCATCGAGAGTCATTTCAACCTGTCCCTTGTTATTATTATTGTACCTAAGATGGTGGGAGGGATGAGGATGAAAACCCCACCTCGAATCACCTTCATCTCTCTCTGTATGATTACCTTGATTTATCATAAATTGCTTTTTCCAATTCAGCTTAAATTGATGCATATACACGTAGAGAAACATAAAAAAAAACGGAATCACATTAGCAAAGCAATAAGAGAATCAGTGGAAAGTTAAATGGTTAACAATTTATTGATGCTTGATTGTTATTAGTTTGTTTCTCTTACCTGTTAGTTTTTTTTTCTTCCAACGAATTTGTTTCATTCTTATGAGATTCACTTTACCAATACTAGTTTCTTACTGTTTACAAAGACTTTGAAGATCCATTAATATGTTTGCAAATAAGTTGCAATTAAAAGCAATCGGCAATAATCAACTTGATCCCTTTTTGCTGAACGTGTTGCAAAAATGTATTAATCTGTTTGCAGTTCTAGATTTGCTTGTATGCAAAGTATTCAAAATATGCTCATTAGTTATTTCAATTGTCCATAATGGTCAAGCTGTGTGTACACTCAAGCCCATTTCTTGAGCTGATCTTTGAAAAAACGAGCTTGGTAAAAGGGTTCATCTTATGAAAAGACAACTGAAAATGCTGACAACCCCTTAGGGGATCACTTTTGTGTTACTCTTGTTGATTATCTTGATGGTTGATTGTCATGAGAATTGAGGAAATAGGAAAAAGTTAAACTTACAAATTGTCAACAATTCATTTTGATGGTTGAAACATTTTTGCTGTTTCCAAGTCGCGTGGTTATTAATATACATTCAATTGCTGTTTAATATCAATTGTTACTGTTAATCAACATTTACCATCTTCCTTTGATGGTGATGATGAGTTACTTTTTGTTTACTCCATGTAAACAGATTAGGTTTTTGCTGTTGTTCCCTTCCCTGTAAACAAAATCTCACTACCGTATTATCATTATGGGAAATACACACTTTGTAATCATTTTGACAGAAAATGGGAAAAAAATTGCAAACTGACCAACGGTCAAGGTTAATTGCTCTTTATTGTTGTAAAGGCATGAAAACTAATCACTCTTACGACTCTCACTTGGGATTTAAAGGTAAACTTGAACAACCTGTACCTAGATGTATATGTGGTGGTTACTCATTAATTGTACCAGAAAATTGTTATTTCCATTGTCTTTCTGATTGTGGTCAATCTTCTTGACCTCTCCATCTTATTTTTCATTCTTCCTCTTGGTTCATCTTATCTCATCATCTCTTTTTTTTGTTTATCATGATAATTTGTTGAAAAGATTTTCTCAACCTGTTGATGTTTATTGTTGACACTTTGTTTTGTTGTTGATTCATTTGTTTTCCTCTTCAATGAAATACAGGTTATGGAAACCTCAGAATTGACCCTGTGTGATATTTTCCCACCTTGAATAATGAGGGTGAAAGATAATGATAAATGGTTGATGAAACTTCATCAGCATCTCCTCAGCATCTTCCATCTCCCATCATCTATTTTACAATAACTTCCTTCATCTTTTTTTTGTTTATCTTTTATAAAGACAGATGATGATACAGTTTAATAGGATTAACTGTTAGAAAATTATTCTATTAATTGTTGTACAATTTACTAATTTAATTTTTCTCTCTATTCTCAATTCTTAGGTTAATTGGATTCGCAGTTCAACTTCATCATCCTCTTCACAAAATACATCATTTTGTTACGATTTCAAAGACGATTCGAGACCCTCGTCGACCAGTTCGAGTCCAGTCCAAATGTACAATCAATATCACATCGATACTTACTTTTACGTTTAAATTAACTCCAATCGACTAATCCAATCAATGGACAAAACAATTTAATCAAAAGTTAATCAATGGTTTATATCAATTTTGGATTAACCATAAAACCGATCGTTTCGACTGTTAAATAATTAAATGATCAATTTAATTCTTGATTAAACTTTGATTGTGTTTGATTCTCTCTCTCTCTCTCTCTCTCTCTCTTCTTCTGCTACCTGATGATTGTTAAGCTTAATTGTAATCAATTTAATTGGAGGTTTTGATTTGCTGCTAGTCCTGTTTTCATATTCAAAACTTAATTAATTTGTATTATCATCATTTTGGACTCATTTGATTATCATCATTATTATTTAATCATCTTTCTTATCAATCAAATCAACTGGATGAACAACAATTGATTGTCCTTTAATTACAATCAAAAATATCTCATTGATCGTTTATGTTTATGTTTTCATAACAATAGTTAATCCAATTATCTATTGATCCACTTGCTTGATCAACAATTAATCCATTGACTTGTGAACCTTTTGTTTACCTCAAAGCTTAACAATTAACTTCAATTGTTGATTAACTGCCAGTTCAATCAATTTGAACTCATCAATATTTCTTCTTGATTAGTTAATCAATTTTTTTTTCTATGTAAATCCAATCAATTTGTCTTTCTATTAACTTAATTGTAATCTCTTCAATCTGATTATGTAAAAATATTACATTAAAAAAATTTCTTCCATGTTAATCAACTATTACAATTACAATTTATTTCAATTTCGACTACAATTAAGGTTTGGCTTATTATTTATTTATAACAATTTAAATTGAAAACTTTGAATTTGATTCATTTAGTTGACCATTAATTGTAAACAATCAAAATAATTGAAATCTACTTTGTTCACTTAATTGTTATGTTAATTGTGGTTTTAAATATAAGATAATTAATGTAAATTTTATCAAATACAAATAGAAATGATTATGATTAGGATAACAATTCAATGACAATTGGAGCTATTTAAATTTAGGTAATTAGATGAATGAAAAACAAACAAAACTCAGTCAATCTTAATTATAAACAATCAATCAAACTTGATCAGTCTAAATTGTTGACTTGATACAAACGTGACTTTAACCCATTCAAATTATTTTTGTTTTTCTGATGACAAACTGATTAGTTAATGAGAATCGTTTGACATAATTAATGCCACGAAGTTAATTGTAGTTAATGATAGTTAATGGTCAATCGTCCATCGATAAGTTTGATGATATTGGACTTTAATTATTTGATAATATTCGTGATCGCAATAAATGGATTACATTTAAATTGAATAACCGGAAATTTGAGAAATTAACTAAATTAAGTTAATTCTAATTAGACGATTAGTCTTAATCAGGCTAATACCTTTTTCTTTTAGTTTTATTAATGGACATGATGGATGATTACAATTGATATTGACGCTGATTGTTCATTTAATTAGTTTAATTATCATTTGTTGTGACCATGAAAGATGATGAAACTTTGATTGTTTGACATGAGGTAACAACGTTTTCAAGTAATTAGCAAAAATATCGTAATCGTTATCACAGAGTTACTTTTGTAAGGACCAGGTAATTAAGCTTTTGGTGTAGATTTAACCTTCCAATTGTACTAATTGTTTAAAATGCAAACAGCTCGACAACAGCAGTGGTTTAAAATGGCAAAGTTTGGGGACTGGGGCGAAAGATTCGTGGTCAACTAATCAACCCTCATGTCAACTTTTCGAGCCACTTTTTTACAGCCAGACTTTGAATAGACTTTGGCATCAACTGGAAAATAATCTAGCTCATCGGCTATCTAAAAAAGGGAAATAGAATCACAATCAACAGATTAGAATTGAATCTAAATGGTGAATAATAATAATTGTCTTACCTCTATAACAAGTCTATCATTAACTTTCTTTGTTATGTTATACTTTTCTTGGAAATAATCGACTACACATCTTTGTACATGTTTCTTTTCCAAAGGGAGAAATGGAATGAAAAAATCGATCATACTTTTATGAATTAGAGAGCTTTTCTTAAGGCCACCTTCCTCGTTGAATGCGTGAAGATTCATCAGCGATTCGATATCACGAAGCTCAATTTCTTCACGATTCATACCGTTCATATAAAAGTTATAAGTGACTCGAGCAATTTCACTGCCGCCAATATTACTGAGAATAAGAAAATAATATTACAATTAAGATCCAATGTATAAATTAGTGAAAAAGTACCTTAAAAATAAGTAAATTGCTTTACTTTGCTCCTTAGGTTCAATTGAATATTCTAAGAATTGTGTAAGACCTTCTATGATTCCGCTGGGTACTTTGTCGATCTCATCGAATATGAATAATTGTCGACCACATTCAGATAATTTAGACTTAATAAATTCAATCAATTCGAGCTGAAAAGAGAGAGAGAGAGAGAATTATTAGAATTAGAACAAAAAAAAGTAGCTTGAGCGCGATAATAACTTACCTTATATTGTGGTGCTTTAGTTGGATCAGGGAACTTTTCTGTAGCTGTAATTAGATGTACATATGAACTTTTCATTCCTTTGAAGTAAATGTTACGAGCAATCAGATAGGAAACAAAATTTTTACCACCACCAGTCCAACCATGAAACGAGAAGACCAAAGCCTTACGAGGTTCTTTGTCTTTCATGTGTTTAATTAGCGCGTTAGCAACAATAGACTCAGCAATATGTTGCCCGTGAAGTTTTTTCTTAAAATCACTTTTCAATTTATCACCAAAATCATATTTTATGGAATTTCTTGCAACAATTGGATCTAAGGCCTGATTACAACATTCGTAAACAGCACATTTCATCCAACTGGATGAAGCATAAATTGCAGCTAAACCAGCGGTGGCACCAAAATAGACGCCAGTGCTTATGGAAATGGGTTCAAGGCATAAACAGTAGGACAGAGAGAGCAGATAGCACAGAAAGAGAGGAGTACAGGTCATCATCGAACTATAATCATCAATGGTGTAATTATTAACGTCATCAAATTTAAAATATCGAGAATAAAAAGAATAATAATCAAAAAAAAATACGAAAAAAAAGTGAATTGAAAACAAATGTTTACCAAAATTCACAAGAAAATGAGTTAACCGAACAACTTTCTTAAGAAAAGCGCCAAATACGAAATTCTAATCAAATGATCTAATCATTAACAATCAAAGAAAATTTATCAACAATTAAGGCGGAATTGTGTTTAATCTTCGATGATCTAGATAATCCTTCGAGTTGGATGATTGAAATATCGATGTTGATTATTTTTGGTGATTGTCCGTGGAATTAATCTAATTGTTGATTTAAATTGTCTAAGGAATTGAGAAACTTTTTTGATACAATCAATAAGAATGGAAATACTTTTAAATTAGTTGATTGTTTGCAAGGGAAAATTAAATGTTGTTGGTGAAAATGTAATTTTATTAATTGTATTAGTTAATCTAGTTAGGTATTTGGTATCATCATCATTAAATTGTTTACTAGACAATCAAATTAAGAAGCAGAGTTGAGTAATTTTATCAAGACTATTATGATTAAGTTGTTTTAGTTTTGATCAATTTTCATTGATAATCAAACGAGGATAATTAATTTGTTTACATTACAATAAATTGTGGTTGAAAATTAGGAAACAATTTAAATCAACTCTAACCTTATCAATTTCAATTAAATTAACCACTAGAAAATATCACCTAAAAATCAACAATTGGCAAATTGTTCATCTTAAATTGGTGTAAATTCAATTCTCTGGTTATGTAAATGTAATCAAAATAAATTGTGAATAAAAAACTCTTGGAATTATTTTAATAATAATACAATTAACTTGAGGTTTTCCATGTTTTCTTGATTGTTAACTATTTACCTAACAATTTATTTTGATTCTTAAGTGTTATGAAAATCAAATTAAATGTCATTCTATTTACTCTTACCTTAATTGAGTATTTTATTATACCAACAATTTAAATTGTACTTTAAATATCAAACACGAAATTTACATTACGATGTAAATTAATTGTTAATAATTAACATTGACATTTAACGATTAATTAACAAGTAAATAAGAATAACAAAATCAAGAGTTAATTCATTAATATGATTGGCCAATTTAAATTTTAATCTCTAATTAATTTTTCTCATCTCAAGTTAATTGTTAAGTAAATCTGATTCGTTAATTGTTTTTAATTATAATGTTTTCTTTATTAAAATTTAAAATAATATTGGTAAATCAAATTTTCAATTAAAATCATGATTGAAGCAATTAAATGATTGAATTAAATGGTTATTAATGAAATGAACAAAGCAAAAAGTTTAACCGATTAACTTAATTATTATTATCAAGATGATTGTTGATTATTTCAATATGGACAAAACAATTAACTCAATTGGATTTGCATTGATTTTTATTTGTTGTAATTTGATGAGATTAATTAATTTCCAATGAAAGTTTGATCTTAAATGATGAATGATGATTGAAACCATTGGTTGATTTGATTGATACAACTACAGATTTGAATGAATTGTTGTTTTAGATTTTTATTGTCAACCAATCAATTAATCAACCTGATCATCTGATGAAGATAATGAGGATGATAAAGATGAAGATGAGGATGATAAAGGTAATTGAATGATTGATCTTTTGCCAACAGTTACACCAAATAACGGATCGACTCCTGATCTTTTCGGTATAAATGGCCAGCCGATTTCCCGTTCACCATCATAATCATTATCTTGTGAGCGATATAAAAATTTCCAGGGTCTCATGAAACCAGCTAACAATTAGTTGATCATCAATTTAATTGTAAACACACAACAACAAACAATTAGAATACCAATTAGGATTAGGATTGGAAAAAGAAAACGAAAACGAAAACTTGAAATGATCGACTTACCTCTTCTTATTGGGATTCGAAGGTAATTTCCAATGGTATCTTTACCATAAGCTTCTTCCTGTAACAATTAAATTAATTTAGATGAATTGGATCAGCACTTAATTACAATTGTCGATTGATAATTGGCAACATATTCAATTAGGAAAACGATTTTACCTTTGCTTCAACATTGCAAGTGAAAGTTATCAGGAGAAGAAACAAAAATGAAAGAAATAAAAACATAATCAAAGATTTAATTGTTCCCTTAATCATTTTTAATTGAATCATAACTAAATCAAATGAAATAGTTTTCTATGGATTGTTGATTGTTTCAAGGAAATTGAATTGAATTTGGTTATTTGTTATAAGCACAAAACAAATGGAAAAAAACAATTTTCAATTGAAACGATTTACTTTCTAAATTGTTCAGGTTTCTGATCTTAACCACGATATTGTATTGTTAACAATTAACTGAATTGTTGAAGATAATGGTTACTATATTATAGGATTTTCCTTTTCTCCATGAAGATGATTCAGTTTCATGGTGATGATCAGGGAATGATAATAATCAACTTTTTCTGCGCAAAAATTTTACACTTTTTATGATATAATTTCTTATTCTTATGTTAATTTTTTCTGACAACAATCAACGAATCAACGATTACGATTAGTCTATGGAACCGAATTAAAAGTGAATCAACATTTATCAAAGGTTAATCGGAAGTCCGGTTACAGTTAAATGATTAACGCAACAATCTAATAATAGTTAATTCATTTGAGAAAAATGATTAATGGAACAATTCAATTGATCAATTCCATTTGTTTTCTTTATCATGTTAATTGTTGACGAATCAATTTTGTTTAATTGTCTTTTCTTGAATAAAAATCATCTTCAAGATAGTTTAACTTAATTGTGATGATTTATGAAGCCATTTAGAGTAAATTAACTTTGAGAATAAAGTTTTTTTTAATGAAGATAATTAAAATTCAACATCATCATAATCATCGCCAATTCCTAAATTAATTATCATTATTACAATCTCATGATTAGAGTAATTTAGTTGATGACAATTAGTAATAACAATCGTAATCATAAAATGAACGTGATTCTAAATTAAAGCTAATAAACCTGAGAAATTTTAATTGAATCAATTATGATTATTGAGTCATTACAATGGAAACTATAATAATAATTGGAGTAAATTAATTAAGATGAATTTGATAAACACTAAATTATAATTTCGATGACAATTAAATGTATTAATATTCAATCAGAGAAATGAGTTTACCTTTGCTTCAGTATTGAAAGTGAAAGTTTTCATGGAAAGAAATGCAAACATAATCAGAGATTTAATTGTTTTCTTAATCATTTTTGATCGAATCATAATTAAACCAAATTGAAGCTTAATCATAGATTTCTATGAATTGTTGACCGAATAAAGAAATCAAATTAAATTCAGTTTTATGTTATAAGCACAATACGAAGGGAAAACAATTTTTAGTTCAATTTTAACGATCGACTCTCCGAACTGTTCAAGTTTCTGATCTTGATCACGATTTTAACCACCAGTATCAGCACCGTTGTAAGGAATCAAACATTTGTATTGACCCATTGACCCATTCCATTGATAAATTGCTTCGAGGCGACTTGATTGGCTATTTCATCCATGTTGAACGAGAAAACTGTTGACGTAATTATACTAACTGGTTGTTTCGTCGATTGGAAATGTCGACCGGTTATCGAAGTCTCGATTAGTCCAAAAAAAATCGAAAGTCTCACTATATTGTTGCTCTTTTTTCAATCTTCGATCAGACTATTTTTCTTCGATTTTAAGCCTTCATTTTTTGTTCGACCTTAATTAAAGAAAATTAAAATTATTCTAAATGATCTTAGTTCCTAATAATTTGCTAGTTTACGATAAATTTGAGTTACTGATTAATCTAATGCTCGAAAAACGGAAAACACGATCATCAAAAAGAAAGTGTTTCTTTTGTATTATCAATATGAAACAATCAGATTATTTTTACGATTAATTAGCGACTTTAAGAAAGGAATTTGCGACAATTTCAAGCGACAGTTGACGGGTTCGATCAACAGATCGAACCCGATGGACATTGGGCAGTCTAGGGCTTACAATTTAGTTTATAGTAGATTTCTAGTTTAGATTGGTTTAAATTATATTAATCTGTTGAGTTTCATTTCATTGATCAACTGTTAATATCTAATTTTTTTGGAATCATCTTTGAGTCTAAACACTGATAATTAGGTTAACTTTTGTGATCAATTAAATATCAAAATTGATTAGGTTAATCTATAAAACTGTTGACAATTTAATAATACATATTATTGTTGTTGCTTATTAATTTTTGATACTCAATTTTGATAAGCAGTTTTAATGAAACTGTTACAAAAACTATAAGTAGGTGAAAATTAATTTCATCTGTTGCTAGTTAACTGGATTAAGATGATTACAATATGACAATCAATTGTATAGATACAATATTATAACCAATAAGTATCATTGAGTTGATATAATGAAATATACACTTGATGTCATTGATCAGCAAATTGATCATTACAATCAATTGATTAGGTAAATAGGAAAGTAGATGAAAAATTTTGATCAGCAGAAAGAGAGAGAGAGAGAACAAGAGGAAAAAAAACAAATTTAGACTTGATGGTCAATCTAATTTGATTGTTGGAAAGTTCAAATTGATATGGTAATCATATTGATCCCTTTGATTATCATCAAGATGATTATTATAAGTGAATAGGAGCCATTTAAGATAACCTTGATAATTCATTTTCTGTGTTATCATCATGATCAATATCATGTTTTCTTTACAGGCAATGATTATTTTAACAAGGAACCATTAAAATGTAAAATTTAATCTCATTTGATCCTCGAATATTTTTCCATCGCCATTTTCATCTTCATCTTCATCATCATCATCAATGTCTTTCCTCGTCTTGGCTTTAACACTTGGGTCTTTTCCTCATCATTATCCAAACAATTTCTTTATGAATATTTAAACCATTTTCTTTTCCTATGGCAATGTTTTCCTTCCTGGTGTTTGTTTAACCCAAGAGATTGATTTAAACATCAATTTTGTTCCTTCTTTTGATTCGGTTTCCTTTTCCTCTTTGTTTTTCTTGCTTCTCTTTTTATGTTGACCAAGGAGAGAGAGAGAGAGATATTATTTATACCTCCATGATGAAGCTCTTCACCTTTACATGTTGTTGATATGTTTGAACTAATTTTGAATATTAAATTTGTTTAACATCATCGGTTGATGTTGTTGTTTTGTTTTTTACGTATTAGTTGGCAAATCTTTACACTTTATAGTTGGAGTCTGACAAATTATGAATATTGAATCAGTGGGTGAAATCAATTCAATTTCATTTTGACACTTGACACTTTTTTACTTTGACACTATTGTAGTTGGTTGAAAGGGTTCAGGAAATGAGTGAGTAAATTGTTGACACTGAAATGGTCTCATGATGATTCATTTATATGTTGCAATGTAATAGTTGATATAAATGAGTTGTTCCTAAAGGTTTTGCATCATGATCATCGATAGAATTAGATATTGTTTCCATATCTACAACAGGTAGAAAAAGTAACTCGGAAAAGAAATATCTGGAAAAGAAATTAAATCATCTAGTCAATTGATAGAATTTAGATAATTTGATTCATTTTTTAGATATAATATTGATACAATTAAGTAAATGAAAAGATGGGTTGGCTTTTTATGGCCAAATTGTAAGGCCGCACAAGGGAGATTGGATTATTTTGGAGAAAAAAATTTATAAGAAGTCGACCTAGAGATCACTTTGTAAGGCATCGTAGGAACATAATAGCTGAACGACCCAATTGCAACGTGTTTGGCTGGTCAGTTTACTTGTTGTTGTTTAGGTTATGCTCAAGCATTGCTTGAATTATTTGCCCTTTGGTCACTGTTCGTCCACCTCCGTGCATCTCTAGCATTTTCCTTCGAACTGCAGGCCAGTTTCTATCAGTCAATAGCTTCTAATGAAGACAAAAAAGAAAATAGAGAGAAAGAGAGAGAGAGAGAGGGAAAGAGAAACAAGAAAGAGAAAGACAAAAAAAGGTTTAAGTACAAAGAGAAACAAAAAAAGCTACTGGCCACTTGTTGGATTTAGTACCAAAAGAGGCGCAAAACTGGACTCACCATGATGAATGGGTCCTTTGAACATTCAGCACACGCTACATTGTACAATTCAGCCATTAGAGTTGTTCAAATCAAAACAGAATTAGAATTTAGAATCAAAAATGAAGAATGAAACAAAGAAAAACAATGAAACTGATTGAGAGGCAAAAACAAAAACGCTTTTGTCAATTCACCTTCCGAATCGCGAAATCAACGACATCTCGTGACGCTGGTGGCGAATTAATTTCTAAATTTAATTGTTTCGACTCTCAAATCATCATCGCCTTTAATTGTTGTTTAACTTGTCTTGTAATTAGAATAGAATGTCAATTGATTTTGTTGATTGTTTGACTTTGTTTTTGTGTAATCAATATGATGAAATGATTTAGGATTTAATTGTTTTTGTTTTTTATTTTTATTGTTTTGTTTTGATTTGTTTTTGTGAGATTTGAAACATTCAATTGAATTGTAACATTTATTGTTAATTGTTAACAATGGAATTGAACTCAAACGGTAGGATTATTGTTAAATTTACAATCGGTTGAAAGTCTTTTATCACAACCATAATTTTCCATCTTTTTAATCAAATCAGTCCAAATGATTCCTTTTGCTTCCAGAACTTTTTGAACTTTTTCAGAGGCAAAGTATCGGTAAATGGGCTGAGAATCGCGATCATTTGGTAATCCAATTAAATTGGTGTGAGGTAAATAAGCTCCACACTGTTGGAAGGCCAAATATTCACCGATAACCAACTCAGGTAATTCAATGTTGGACATGATTAAATCATCAAGTGAACCCGATTTACCCCAGACCATTGATTTGTAATTATTTCGAGGTGATTGTTTATCGTAAAAGGGAAATGGCATCGGAAGTGATTCTCGAGAAGCATAAACGGTAAGTAAACCAAATCGACTTTCATTCACATGGTAGTGACAAATCTGTTCGCCATTGAGAGTTTCGATTACCCGTTTACCGATAATACGAACCATTAGCCAAACAGAGGATTCGACGAAATATCGACCTGGTTCGGCGATAATTTTCAATTTCTCCTTCTTGTTTGCTCTCTCAATTACTCGACTTAATCTGGACATATATTCGTTCTCAGTGTGATAATTAAAGCTACTTGGAAATCCACCGCCGATATTGAGCAGAAACATATCGAATTGTTTTTCTGTTCCAACTTCGATCACTTTGATTGCTTCGTCCACCGCTAATTCAAATGCTTCCGGGTCTTGACAATTAGTTCCAACATTGAATGTAACCCCAACGATTTCAATGCTCGATTCTTTGGCGATATGTAACATCTGATCGACTTGTGACCTATTGGAAACTCCATACTTTGAATCTTTGGTACACATATAAGTTTCCATATAAGTTTTCTCGGTTTTCTTTCGAGGAATTTGAATTCTAATGAGGACACTCGCCTTCGGTGCCATCGATTTGATCTTTACCAGTTCAAATTCACTATCGGCGACCACGAATTCAACATTATGTTTACACGAAGTCTTCAATAGATCTTGAGTTTTATGAGGAACGGAAACAATAATTCGACCTTTATCTGATCTACCCGATTTATCCGAACGGAACTTGTCAGGCCATTTATTAGTAGTAATTGAAAGAACCCGTTCAATTTCAGCCTAAATCGGAAGATAAATTCATCCAATTAATCAACTACTAATCTCTCGTAAGTAAATTAATTTGTGACCTAATTTCATATCTACATCTCGAGTGTGTCAATTAATTGTTGGTGTAGTTAATTGTACTTACGACTGATGAACAGCTAAATGGCAAATCAAATGCCGACATGATTTTGATGATTAAAGGGTGGGCATTACAATGGACATAATAGTAAGGGTCAACTTTCAATTTTTCTGACCAGCGCTCAATCCGTTTGATAATTTCATCGACATTGATTATGACCATTGGGGAATCGACATTACTTGTAGCAAGATCAATTAGAAAATGATTAAACTCCTTGTCCATAATTGATTTAATTGAACATTTAGCTAATGGATTACGTTTCCAAAATTTGATCGGACTAAACAATTTAGGACAAATTGATTTATTCAATTTAGGCATTGACACTTCACACAATCAGATTAATGATTTAACTAAATTTACACAATCAAAGTATTTAAAAGTTTACATTACATTTGATTATGAAGAAAATTAAACCAGAAATTAAAGGGAAATGTTTAATTCAATGAGAGAGAATAACAATTTAATATCAAATTACAATTAAATTGTTGATTCTATTCAACAAGTGACATGAAAGATAATTAATTGTCTCATTCGTGATTTGTTTAGCACTAATTACTACCTGATTGTTGGTAATTAATTGTTGTTGTTTTTTTTTCATCTTCATCAGGTGGTTGTATTAATTTTTCCTCTTCCATTAATTTAAATTAATCATCACACTCATAAACAAACAATCAACATGATATTTGTGGATTAATACAATTGATGAATCAGCAAACAATTAACAATGAACAATTAACCAGCTTTATTTTTCTGTGACAGTTTCACTCTTATTTACTAACAATCGTTGTAATAATTAAAAGCAATCAAATTAAATCTTGTTAATTGCAAGCAATATTTATTTCTCTGTCATTTTAATTGTTGATTAACTATTTCAACCAAACCAACAAATTAAATTATTGATTCTGGTTAATTGGACAAAAAAGTAATTGTGTAAAAATAAATTCTCAATGAAATTGATTTGTATTGATAAACAAATAGACAACATGATTTAACCAATCGATGAGCTATTTATTGATTCCTTGGTTTAATTGTCTCATGGATCTGTCCACATCATTGCCCAACCATCGAGTGTCCGAGCTTGACCAAGGTGCTTTAACGGTGACCCTTTCCAAATGGAATCATAGGTCAACCAAATTGACCTTTGTTTCCCTCGATTATAAGATTGGGCCAAAGCTAATCGAATGATCTTCCTGCCGATTGGCGCTTTTCGTTGAACATTTAACGAAGCTAATAACTTTTTCTCTTGACCAATGGTCCTTTCGATTGAGTAATTATTAAATTCACGATTTCGAGAAGTGTTTTTACCAGTGTAGATCAATAGATATTTGGACAGGTCGGAGGTCGAAAATCGTCTTCGCAAGCTTCCAATATATTTCGCATTGGTCAATGTTCGAGGTCGATCATCGTCAACCGAATCAAATTTAACTGTATCAATTAGATGAATAACTATAGTTGATTCTTGATCAGATTCACCATTAAATTGATCGATTGAAGATTCATTTGAACTAAATTGTTTATTTAGATTAATATTATTATGATTTCCATATAAAGTTGAAGTGTAAAGGGACAAGGATGAAGTGGACACTGGATAGTATTCAATGTCCGAGAAATCAAGATTTAATAAGGTTCCATTATCATCTGTAGCACTGATATTTCCCTGTGGATTAACAGTTAATCCAAGATCACTGGAAATTAGATGAACAATTAAAATAACAGTTAATTTCAACACTAAATGAAAATTAATTTCAGTTGATAACATTTTCCCACTGTTGATGTTGATCAAGTTTGTCCAGTTTTGATTAACTTGAGATCTGTTGACTTAAATAAACTTTTCAAAATCTAAGGAAATGATTAGCAAAAAACAACAACAACAACAATCAACAATTGGATTAATAATTAGCCGTGATAATTGTTTAATATTATTAATTACCAGAGGTCATTGTCCGAATCGACAATCGTGATTAGTAATATAATTAACTCTAGTGACTTTAATCTCAACTTAATTGGACATTAAATCACTTCCTCAAACCTGACAAAACAATTTAACACGATTCACTGTAAATGATTTGTCAAAATTAAATTAATTCTGTCTAATAGTTTATCAATCAATTACAAAAAGAAATTAAAATTAACCAAACAACACAATTAATAGATCTCACAAAAGAGATTAACAAACCTCTAACAAAAACTAAAGCTAAACCATTCCAATCACTGGATTAAAGCTAATCAACAGAAACTCGCCAACCCTTTAATCAAAAGTTTCACTGATTAATCTTAATCCTTAATTGTTGCTTAATTTGTTCAATTTTCCAATCCAAAAATGGCGCTCATTTTAATTCCACCACTGCGCTTGCCCTTAGGGATAAATAAACTTTGGATTCTGGTCGTGATTGAGCGAAATTTTCTTACCCTGAAATTCCTTATTATCCTGAAAACAAATATATTTCATAAAAAATGAGTGAAAATTTTGAAAGTGCTAATCCCGGGGATCAAAATGATACCCAAGTACCAAAAAACATCGAAAAGGTAAGAGAAATAATTATAAAACAAAATTTTAACAAAAGGAACAACCAAAACAGAACAACCCAAACTGAAAAATTTAAAAAAGTTGAATTAAACATTTCTTTCTCCTCTAAAATAGATAACCTTCCAGGCCTGATTACGAACAGTGCTGAAGAGAAAAATAAATATGAAGAAATTCGTAACCGGACCCTGGAATTAATAAAATATGGAATCGAAGGAGAACCACGAGCTATACTACAAAACGTGCTTTCCACGTGGATAAAAACCGTTTGGTAGAAGACGCTAGAATTTTGCGTAAAGCTTACGCAAATGGTGTTGATGAACAGCTTCAAACGATTCCTAAAAAGAATTACCATGGCTTAAGAAGTATATCCTCATCCTCGATCGAGCGATAAAGAAGCTTCAAAGATCAAACCCGCTAACACCGAATCTGTGCTCACGGGCGAGAATACAAATCAACCACAAGCGGAAGCTAATCAACAATCACCAGAGATAATCTTTGAAATCGATAATCAACCATCGGAACCGAAAAAGAAAAGAGTCCGTGAATCTTATAATATCCTTAAAAGAACCAGACCAGCCCCTCCAGAGTGGTGGCAATGGTTAGACAATAAGAGATATTATAAGGTTAAAATAAAAGGACCCCAACCAATTGAACCGTACAACAAATCACCAACCACTTACTCGCCGCCAGACTCAAATACACCTTTCGAGTCTTAACCTACAGGAATTACTCGATAATTTTTAAACCAAGAAGAAGAAAGAATCGATTTGATTAAAAAATTTTCGATTCCAGAGCTTACCGTTGAACCGGTAGAATGGCAAAAACCAAGAATTAAAATAGCCTACGTGAGACCACCGATTAATGAAGATTGGGAGAGTTATATAAGAAAAATAATGGCTTTGAATGGTTTCCATGAGCATAACCAATTCAAAATAATCCAAACCTTCCCCATGGGATTGAACGATGATCGCTATGGAATAATAATGGAAGTCAGCCCGGCCATTAGATCGCAAATTGAAATAAGATTGGAAGGCAGATTGTCCACAGGCTACTCATTCCACAAAGTTAAAGATGATTTTCGAATACTCAGCTGTAAACTTTGTCATCGATTCGGCCACTCACGTACTTATTGTCGAAATCAGCTAAGATGCGACAAGTGCTCAGGCCAACATTTGGCCCGAAACTGTAAATCGCAAATAAAACGATGTCCTTCATGTGAAAAGGAAGGTCATGAGGCTTACAGCCGTGAATGCCTTATGTTCAGAAACGAACTTATTCAAGCAATCTCGGAAATCGACTACGATTACGAGTATCTTCTAATGTAAAATCGCTAATCCCGAACTGGAGTCACGATTGAAAAAGCCCGCATCGTAAAGTCACCATGACAACAACATTATCTTCTGATTTCTTTCTCATGCTTTTACTTACTTAATGTTATTGTCCACCTAAATAAAACTTTTTCACCTTTTAAATTTTATAACTGAACCATAATTAAAGTGACCTTTGTATTGAAATGGACCTTGATCCAAGTGAACTGATTAATAAACTTTTAAAAGAAAAACTATTAAACCATGAATTTATTCAATGGACAGATAACGACGTTGATACCGTGTTAGAAGCTTTTTCGACATTGAGTAAAAGTGATATCGAAAATCCCGATAATACAAATGACCTCCCAACCCAAGTTTTAACCGGACTAATGATGATCGGTGCAATTTTCGTACAACAAACCCCAAATGCTGACACAATCTCAGCATTACAAAGCTTATTGAACTGGTCAAGAATAGAACTGAACTTGACACTTCAGATGAAGAAGAGATTGAAGATTTGATAGAGTCACAGTTATAATCACCCAAAAATCATACAACTGGCAAAACCTGACAACATTTAAGAATGTTACAATAAAACAAACTGTAGGAATCAAGAAAAGTTATCATCAACTACAGAATCCAATTCCGAAATCTACCCTGAAACAAATCTTCTTGGACAACAATAAAGAGATTGAAATCGCCCTTTATCGATTGGTATGTAATGGAATCGAAGAATTTAATCACCGAGAATCAAAAAAAGGAATTACTGGATAAATTCAAAGATGTAAATGTTTTCTTCAGGTTTACCGATGCTAAAACTTTGATGTTTATTAAAGATTATGAGATTTATGACGAAATGAAAAAACATAAGAGTGAGATCCTGACAAAAGAAGATACAGTTAACTTCGTAGGAATGGCTCGAATTAAATTTTGTAACCAATGCTCGATCACCTACACGGGTTATCATCAGAAACATAAATAAAACGTGAATTAAGATTGTAACTAGCGTCTCTTAGAAACAAGAATAAACGTGAATTAAGATTGTAACTAGCGTTTCTCCTCATTAACCAACCACTTATATTTATCTGATTGATAGAAAATCAACGACCCATCCGTGTAATTACCAGAGAGCCACTCAGTGGGCTCAAAAACCTCACCATTATTCACTTCCACAAAATCGTTTCTGGTGAGTAAATGAACGCATGAATGCCACCCATCAAAGACATAATGATCCTGTGGCTTGATAAATCGATCACCAAGAGAACGATCAAAACAATCTTTCCAAAGCTTAATCACACTGCTGAAAGCAAGACGATGATAAGCAAAATCCTCACCATTGAGCTTCAATGTAAAATTTTCCTCCATTTCTATGAAAAGATCATCTCGCTTCATCATCGACCCACACAAATTTATGGCCATCAAATCAGGTAGTCTCAGTACTTTTATATCAAGTCTAAACTTCCCCACAAATCGACCCATTCACGATACGAGAACACGTCAGAGGAAAATTATCACCCCAGTAACCAACTCGCATAATTATATCTGAGAGACGCACTATATGATAACCCTCGCAGGCCTTTCCGGGCAAATTTAAAACAGGAAAACTGTACTCGAAAATCTTCCCGTCAACAGGACAAAATCGACACTGAATTTACCACTGACATGAAAAAGAAATTTCTGATGAAATCGAATATCGTCATTTCCTAACTTCCGCAACAAATCCTGAAACACCACCGATTCAACACTCCATATCGCTCAGAACAAAACCTTCGTAGATGCTTAAGAATGTAGCTGCTGAGAATTCAACTCAGGTCATTCAATGGTCGGCTCTTGGTCGGCTCCTCGTAAGGGTCATCAGGATCAGTCTTCAATTGTAATAACCTGGGAAAATTACGAATTTGAAAACCTTCAATCCGAGCAGCTTTAACAAACTCTATAGAAATTATACAGAGAGTACACCACAGACCAAGACCCTGTCGCAGGAGAATCTTTAAGACACCGAAGTGGATTTTTCACTTGTCCAGTACCTATGCGACTGGCCAGCACCATATAAGAAGTCATCAACTCCTTAACAAAAAATTGCGAATGAAATAAAGGTATTAATGCAGAATTTAAATAACAGAAACCTTGCCAATTAGGCAATTTCATGATCTGCTGTGGCTGAAATAAAGAAAACAAAAATTAGCTAATTCCGATCTGAGTTCACTAACTTAACTTACCATATAAATAACTGGAAAATCCTTTAGAATACGATCAATTATATGATGATAACTCATATCAATAGCCTTTCGAAACTGCAAATGGCAACCAAACCCAATTATAATAATCTCCTTGAATTGAACCTCAACCTTAGTCAAAATATAAGTCTCATTGTTCACGATTTTGTGACTATAAACACTGCTTATCAACTTAAAATCATCCTCATGGACACTAACAAACTCGCGACTGAAATTGGCCTTCGATCCAACAAGAAAAGGTTGATCATTAAAACGTTTCCAGATACTTTCACGAACGGGAGGATTCAACTTAACAAATTCAAATTCGGCTGGTTTCTTCTCCATGACGAAACAAACTATGAGTAAACAAGAGATGAAATAAACAGTTAATAAATGAAAAGGCGGGATAAAAGGTGGTAATGAAATAAAAACAAGTTAACTCATTACTTATCAAACAATCATGTTAAATATTACTCACTGTAATGTCGCCCAAAAACCAGAAACAACGGAATTTATGATTAGAAAACTCTATTTAGTGACCTTAGTGTAACATCGTTATCCGACCCAAATATCTCTAAAATTAGTGAAACTTTTAACACCGAACGTCTTATCATCAATGGAGCCCAATCACTGGTTGTGTCCAGAGACCTTAAACCTGTAAAATTAAGAGTCGGTTGCCAAGATATCGCGGCGATAATCATAAGAAAATTAAACATTGTTGTAATCTCGGTGTACCTTAAACCGTGGCGATCAAATGAAATCTTCATACAACAATTAGCAACAATACATCGGTTAATTGTCGAAAACCTGGAAAGCCAAATAATCTTAATGGGAGATTTTAATGCTTCTTTGAGCTATTGGCAATCAGGCCAAATAAACTCAGAAGAAGAAAACAATTCACTCAATTGACAAATTCGCTTCACCAGTTTAACTTGATTCCAATAAGTCGTGAATTCGGTACAACATTCATCAGATCAAACAGGGTAATAGACATGATATTAACATCCTCAACCATGGTAATAGTAAATCCAAGGAAAAATCTCGATGATTCAGATCATTGGACATTGGCATGTGAAATAGACACTAACAAATTGATACCAGGAACGAAAAAGATATTAAAATAATCAAATTCGGTTCTTGGAGGTTGAAACCAAGTTATCATCTCGTTAACAATCAATGGAATAAAAATCACCCACTCATCAAGAGATGTTTAGAAATTGTTCATTTCCCAGATAATCATGGAATCTGGATAACAAAGATGAAAAAGAGAAACAAATTACAGAGATTAATCAAGGCAAGAAGAAAAACAACGAGTTAGAAACCCAACAGAGAGAGAGAAAAGAGAAATAAACGAACTCACCATGGAAATTGACAGAAAGATTCAGTCTTTCGACCTTACAAGATGTTAAAAGAAAGTAAAGATTCAAAAGTAACATGGAATCTCATCCACCAACACCTCTTTGATGATAAAGAATGGATAAATTGGAAAACCCGGTGACGAATGAGAGCAAATTAAAATGGTTAGAAGGCTTCACAAAGAATAAACCACAATTTAAAGATGCACCGAAATTAATCAAAGGCCAACTGTACCAACATGAGAAACAAATGATTTTAAAATACCGGGCCAAAAGTTCAAGTCTCACAGCAGACAATTTCATGAATAAAACATGGAATAAATTTCTGAAAACAACAAGGAAAAGTTTGAAGTAATCGAAATGATATTTTCAATATCACACGTTCCAAATGTTTTAAATGTCTTTGGCTGCGGGTTCGTACCTAAACCGGATGGTAGAGTTCGAATGATCCGAACTCCAAATCATCTATTGAAAATGATCGACATGGTAATAGCAGCAAGACTCCAATCAACAGCACCCAAACTTCTGGTACCTGAAACACAATTTGGTTTTATACGAGGAAGTAAAAGAGAAGATCTCTTTAGGAAACTCCTAATAAAAAAGAATAGAGAAGAATCAACAATGATATTTGTCGATGTGTCAACAGCGTTTGACGATGTCAGCCTAACTCCAATCCGAGCTCAGCTGACACAAATCATCGGTGAATCAACAATGACACTGATAGACTCAATTCAGGAAAATGATTACCTGACTTACTTTGATAATGGAACCAAATTATATAAAAAATCACCTTCAGAAGTCTCCCAAGGAACATCGATTGGACCTCTCCTCTTTATTTTGGCCCTCAACCACTGCATCAAAAAATGTTGGAACATCAACATCATGATTTACGCATTTGCTGATGATATGGTCATCATTATCCCACCGAATAGCCTGTGGAGAGTTGAAACAATAATGAAAACATTAGAAAAGATTCTATTAGAGATCTAAAAATCAACCACGAAAAACCAAAATCATCCATCCAAATGACAACAGTTTTATCAAAATACTAGGTTTTCAGTATTCCAGAAGGAAAATGTCCATTAAGAGATTTAAAAATGAACTGGAACAGCGACTAAGAAATATTATTGTCACCAAACGACGAATTACCTGGCCGAAAATTATCAAGCTACCGATTAAGATCCAGAAGTTGTTAATCACAAATTATCTGTGGCCAATGATTTATGAGATGATTCCGATTGCGATGAATGACCTAGAGAATGAAAATGAAATAAATGAGCTAATTGGATCAATCATAAACAAATTCATCGGAACAAAAACAAGAACGAGATGGAGTCACATGATAATACATAAATTACCCTTTTGGCTAGAGAATTATCGAATAGAAACGACTATTCATAATTTCAACAACCAAATTACGAGACCAACAGGATGGATAGAAAGACATCCAGTGCCGATAGAATGGATCATGGACAGGATGTCGAATAACGATGATCACTTGATCCAATACAAGATTATGAATTCGCAAAGTGCATTAATATGTCACAACAATTCTGATCACCTGTGGCAAGTAAACCTGAAAGAAAAAACAGAAAGATATGAATTCAAATTAATAATAGTAGAAATGATTATAAAAATATGGGGCGGGCACAAAGTTACAATAGAGTTAGAGCCAGAAACAGCAAAATTAATTTACTCACTTTCAGATTTTGGTGATGATATTAGAAGAATTCTCCTCAGACCAGGACAATGGCAAATCAAAACAACACAATCATCAAGGGAAGATTGGTGCGAGAGGGAGATTAAATGGATTTTACCTCGACAGGAGAAACCCACCAACGTAAGAGCTCAATACAATGAAATTAAAAGAAAGGAAAGAGAGAAAACTGAATCAAACTTCAGGAAATCAAAATCACCTCTAGCTGAACTCAACATAAAATTGGCGACAAACTAAAACAACATCAGATTAGGACCATAGAAAAGATGATGAGACAAAGAATGGCGATAGAATGTTGTGGCCTCGAAACACCAAGCCGATTACACTTCTGGTAGGACTGTAAATGGATAGAAAATCATTACCCACAAATAATCAACTTAAGACTGAAACACGTCAAAGAATGGACAATCACTGATACTAAATTAATTAACCAAATTCTCATTTTAATTGACAATAGAAATGAAGCTTATTACCTTTGTAAACGGTTAGATATGCAACCGTGAGAGGGCAGAACTCGAGTCTGCTCAGTTGTATAAACGATCGTAAAGATCCCTCAGGGTAATAAACAGATTCATTTGGTTTTGAATTTTTCTCAATTGTAATTAATTTGGTTATCACTTTTTAATTATCATTGTCTTTGGTTAATTACTTTGTCATTTAATTGTAACGGTTTGTCAATATTGTCAAGAAAGATGCCGATTTACAAAGGTAAGTTAATTGTGACTCTAATTGGTTTAATTAGTCAACATTTATTGTATTTTCTTTTTCTATTTTCCAATCAACTCTTTTTTTATATTCTTTTCTCTGTATAATCTTAATCCGTTGTTTTTGTTTTATACCTTTGGTTTTTTTTTCTATTTATGTCTTGTATTTTTTGTCATTTTGTTTAATTTTGTTTTATTTGATTATTTGATTATAGTTAAGGTTAAATGGGGTAAAGAGATTTACAATGATATTGATTTGGATACTGATTTGGAGACAACCGTTTTTAAGGCTCAATTGTTTGCTCTCACTTCGGTTTCAATTGAAAGGCAGAAACTCATGTTCAAGGGAAAAGTCATCTCTGGACCTACATGGGATGGAATTCAGTTAAAAGATGTATAGTTATTTAATCAATTATCATTGGTGTCTATTTATAAATCTTTTGTCATCATCATGTGTTTGAATGATTTTTATATTTCTTGTTTTTACCAGGTATCACTTTTTTGATGATGGGAAACGTTGACAAGATTCCTGAAGAACCTCAAGAGAAACCTAAATTTATCGAGGATATGACTGAAAGTGAATTAAGCACAGTTCTTGATCTTCCCTCAGGCTTAACCAATTTAGGTAATACTTGCTATCTAAATGCTACGGTACAATGTTTGTATACCATACCTGAGTTACGAGAAGCAATAGCCAAGTAAGTATTTATTACCTATCATAGATCAAATTGAGAAACAAAAAGATGATCTTAATTTATTCAATTTTATTTTCTCCATTTCAATAGGTTTATCCCTAAGCGTTCGGATCTTATGTTACAACCCAATGTTACTGTCTCTTTGCGGATCTTTTCATCTCAATGGAACATAAATCTGTTATTGCTCCAATGGTTTTCTTGACGGTTTTCATTTAGCATTTCCTCGGTTTGCCGAGAAATCCGCTGATGGTAATCTCATTCAACATGATGCAGCCGAATGCTGGACAAGTTTGATGAGATCATTACAACAAGATCTGAAAACTGCTGATAATCAAGGAACTGGTGATAATATTAGTGCAGCTCAAGCCATTAAGAGTGATAATTTCATTGAACAATATTTTGAAGGAAAATTCTCTGTTACCATGAAAAACACAGGTAATCATTATTTCTTCTATTATTATCACTTGTAAATTAACAATCTATCATTTTTGTTATTTCTCTTTAATACAGAAAATGAAGAAGAAGAAGAAGCTAAAACTGTAGAGAAATTTTTACATCTTAGTTGCTTTATTTCCAACCATGAAGTTAAATATCTTCAATCTGGCTTAAAATATTCCATCCTAGAAGAAAATTTAACCAAATTTTCACCAAACCTCCAAAGAGATTGTATTTACACCAAGAAAAGTCTATTGGGCCGATTACCTGCTTATCTTACAATTCAAATAATGAGATTTGAATATAAAGGACGTGAAGCGAAAATTTTGAAAGAAATTAAATTCGGTTTCAAGTTGGATGTTTACGAGATGTGTACACCAGAATTACAGGAAAAGTTAAATCCAATGAGAAACAAATTCAAGGAATATGATGATAAAATGTTAGCCCTAAGCCAAAAGCCTGACCTGACAAAAAAAGGTGACAAAACCGACGAAAAGCCCAAATTTGCTTATCCATATTATTTCAAAGATGATCCCGGTTCCAACAACAGCGGCTACTATGAGCTTCAAGCTGTTCTAACTCATAAAGGAAGAAACATCGCCAGTGGTCATTATCTAGCTTGGATTAGACGTAGTAAAGGTAATAAGTTTATCACAAATTGTTACCACAATTAGACATTAAATATTGATGATTTTATCTCTTTTTCCCCAAAGATGAATGGTTCCAATGTGATGATGATAATGTTACTCAAGTGACCACTGATGACATTTTAAAACTGGCCGGTGGAGGTAATGAAATCACAAATAAAACATTTCTCACTAATTGATTATTAATTTGCTATTCAATTTTTTAATTTATCTCTCAGGTGATTGGCATTGTGCTTATTTACTTTTATATGGTCCACGAGTATTGGAAGTTGATGTTAAACCTGATGATTTGGATTCAATTGCTTAGAAAATTATTCTAATATTAACTAATTGAAAGAGAAGAATATTGATTTGATCAGTCAAATGATTACCTTATATACCAACAACAATAATGGGAACTTGAAAAATTAAAATTATCTTTTAATACAAAGTCAAAATTCAATACGAGATAAATTAATCATCCTCATCATCATTTTCATCTACAGCATCAAGTTTATTAACAATTTCTTTATCCAGTTCTTTCTCCTTCTCTTTTATATCCTTCAATAATGACCTTATCCTCGTTCCAACCATTGCCTGAGTTAGAACTGGTGTTTCTACGATTGATCCTGGCCTCGAATAAAATTGTTTCTCACCTTGATTACTGATTGATTTTCTTCCAGTTTCAGCATCTTTCTCTTCTTCTTTTTCTTTGATTAACATGAACAAAAAAAATTTAGAATTAACCTGATTTTCATCTACAACAATTTCGACAAATTAGCAACTTACCTGATCTTTTCTTTAGATAATAAGGTCTAATGATTTGATTGTAAATTCTAATGGAACCATTTTGCTCGGTAGGCCAAAAGCACCAAACGAGAAAAATTAGTTTCGCCAAATAGTAAACGGGAAAAACATAAAATATTTTATCGGAAAAAAATTCGATTACTGAAAAGAAGGCGAAAACAACCCAATAGGTTAACCATTGACGATCGTCCTCAGAATCATGAGTTTCAAGAGCTTCTAATGACTGAATTGCAGGGTAGACGAATCCAACTGCATTACAAATCAATTCAGCGAAAGCACCAAAGGTCATATAAATAGCGAACAAAATGAAAAAACATTTAGCGATTTTACGTTTCTCCAGACGAGTAACTGTTTCTAAACCGTTGAATACCCTCTGAGTTACAGGGGAACCGCTGAATACTGTGTCCACAACATTGTCCAGTCTTCCAAGAAATTGTGAAGTCATTTCGAAACAAAAAGAAAATCATCTCTAATTGACTGTTAATTACTCGAAGTAATTAAAGTGTATTGTTGTAAATTGAAGGATTCGACAAAGGAAACATTGAATTGCGAGAAACAAATTGATCGATTATTAAAATAATTCCTTTACTTTAATTACTTTTATTCACTAATTTACATGTAAATTCTGTTCTTTGCTTTTTCAACTTGAACCTCGTTAATTGTGATCATTCAAAACTCTGAAATGTTGATTAGATTGAAATAGTTTCCTTGGTTAAACAAAAGCGATTCAATTAAGTGTTACTACGATTTTCGCTCTCGATTCTCGAAGCAAAAAACCATTCGAATATCGGAATTTCAATCTTCTTTTCCCATTGAACTTATCGATCCTCTAGTTGGACTTCCCTGAGTTCGTTCTGATGGGTCAGGTTCGGGATCCTCTGGTTCTAAGATTTATTATATTGATTTAATTTTATTTCTATTAAAATTTCGACCAGCAACTTACTCGATATAATTGAATCTCTTTTCTTCAGGTAATATGGCCTGATAATTTTCTTATAAATTCGCATGGAACCATTTTCTGCGGTAGGCCAAAAGCACCAAATAAGAAAAATTAGTTTCGCCAAATAATAAACAGGGAAAACATGGAATATTTTATCGGAAAAAAATTCGATTAATGAAAAAGTCGCAAAAACGACCCAATATATTAACCATTTGGTATCATCTTCCGGTTGGTGAGTTTCAAGAGCGTCGAGTGAACAAATCGCTGGATAAATAAAACCGACACCGTTACAAATTAACTCAGCGAAAGCACCAAAGATCATATAAATCGATATGATGATGAGAAAAAATTTGGCGATTTTTAACTTTTCCAAATGAGTAACAATCTCCAAACAATTGAAAACCTTATCGGTCTTTGGTGAACCGGTAAACACCGTGTCCAGAGCATCGTCCAGTTTTTCAAGATATTTGGACATATCGACGAACAGAATTAAGATAATTGAGTTTTATTTATGTTCTAAAAGACAACCCGATGTTATAATTAAGGATTCGTTAAGAAACGAACAAAGAAAACAATTGATTGGTTAATTGTTGGCGAAAGAAAATGATTTCAAGTTTTAGTTTAATTGTCAATTTGAATTCGATGTATGGTTACAAATTACCTCGTTGTTTTTGTAACCTTTCAACGGCCTCATAAAGAGCCTGAACATTTCCAGCGCCGAAACCAGAATGGTTATTACGCTGAATTATTTCGAGGTAAGTTGTCGGCCGGTCAAAAAGCGGCTTCGTGAATAGCTGAAGGATGTAACCGTTTTCATTGAAATCGCAAAGAATTTGAAGTTTTTCTAAAACTTCGATTGGTTCTTTGATTGTGACCTTCGATGAGTCCAAACGCTCTCGTAATTTTTCATAATATCCTGATGGAATATCAAGAAATTGAATTCCACGTTCTCTTAGGCCACTTACCGTAGAGACGATATTATCTGTTCGAAGGGCGATATGTTGAATTCCCGATCCATTATTGTATTGAAGAAATTCATGTAACTGGGACACTTTATCTTCGGCCGATGGTTCGACTAAATTGATTATCACCTCTTTCGATTTGTTTGCGACCACAACCATTTTCAATCGACTTGTTTCCGTTTTGACATTAAAATCGTCAACGGAATAAAAAGTTTCCAGTCCCAATTTATTGTAGAAATCAAAAGCTTCATCCAATTGTCCGACATTTAGAACAGGAACAAAATGGTCAATAGCTTTAAGAGATATTCGAAGTTCTGGTGAAATGTCCATTGGTCCCTCGAAATTATCCGACTCAAGGGGCAAATGATAAGAGGGAAGAAAAGGTCCAGAATATCGAGTTCTCTCGATCAATGTATGAGTTATATCACCGAAAGGTGAAATAACGGCCATTTTAACGGAACCATTTTGATCACTTTCGGTCCTTGGCTGTTGGACAATCTTAATTCCACTTGCGGTCAATCGAGTCAGGTAGTTGTCCAAATTATCAACTGTAAAGGCGACATCTTTGACCATATCACCTCTGGAGGAAACAATTGACCAAAGGTCACCCGAACCATATTGATAAGTTGAACTTAAAACCAGAACAATGTCATCTGAGGTCACAACATATGAACACGTTGATCGGCTTCCAGTTTCCAAACCCTTATAACCGATTAACTTGAACCCAAAGAAACGGGTGAAATAAGCGGCCGCATATTTGGCATTGGAAACATAGAAAGTTACATGATCAAGACTAATTATCCCTGAGAATTTATTTAATTCAGTTGTAATTGAATTAACTTGAGTTAAAACCATGATTTGTACTATTAAATCATAAATACATTTAAGCGTTAATTGGAAAAGTTTATTTCTTGTTGATTGTTTGTTGATTAGCACCGAATGATAACTTAAATCGTTAATCTGGTTTGATTTAAATGTCGCACTCACACCTAATCTTAATCAATCGATTTTGATCTTAACTTGATGACAATTTAAATGGGTAAACAAGGTTCACTTTTTTGGTTAATTTCATTCGTTACGATTATCATTTGATTTACTTAATATTTTGATTGTGTGTATGTGTTTAGTTGATCCAATTTTCAACAAATCATCACATTGATTAGCTGATTGTTTCATTGATTATGCTGAATGTCACCCTGACCTGTTCATCTTAATCTGATTTGGTTTACGGTCACTAAATTGTAATCCGATTTACATCACAATTTACACTTTAATTTTCTCTTTTTTCCCTCATCAGGATTAAAATTTTCACTATACAATTGATTAAATGATTAACAATTAGCGAAGAGAAAAAGAAAATTCTAAACTTGATTAACTTGGATTAAGAAACAAAGAAATTGCGAAATTGCTAATAATTAATATCGACCAATTAATGATTGATTAATTCTAATTTTCTCAGAATAGAAAATTTAATAAATACAATTGAATTTGCAATAAAAGAAAAAAAGAAAAACAATTTTAATTATAATAAGATTTTTAGATTTTAAGATTTTTTTAGAACAATTAACTTTAGGATTTGATGATCAATAAACATTTCTTTCAAAACGGATTCTTTTTAAAATTGGCTCAGTTGATCTTCACTTCATTTCTTTAATTAATGTTTCACAATTCACCAACAAATTAATCTGACGATGTGTACAATTTAAATTCTAATTGTGACAATCAATATTCTAATCACCGATCGTGTTGGAAAAATTCATCTAATCAATTCCATTGAATCTATTACTTAAAGGTAACAACCATTTTCTTCATGTCTCTTTTATTTTTCTTCCTCCATTTTACTTTTTTTCTATGATTAGTATTTGTTTCTAATTGATTAACAGCCTATTATAGTTAATTGGTGACAATCATTATTTCTCTTAATTGTCTATTCAAATTGTCACAATCAATTCTATTCCTTATCACATATTTTACTCTATAGAAACAGGTAACTTATATTTTTTGCTCTATTTTGGTGTACAGTGATGCCTTTCAAAATGACCCATCATGGTGACAGCGATTTGTAGAATAGGTGATTCGAAAGGGTTAAAATTAATCAATTATTTTGATTGAAAAAAAATACTAAACACAAATAATTATGAATTATAATCCTCAAAACAATCTGAACTTGAAGCGAAATTATTAATTTTCATTTTTTAGAACAATTTGATGAGATTTAATCTTAATTAAAACTTAAAATCTTCCAAATCTAATGTTACCATAACGATGGACCATATTGAAAGGAATCACTGTATAATCAATTATCTTGATTGTGTTTTGTTGCTTTTCCAAAAGCATATAAATTGGATAGCAAATCATTTACACCTTTTATATAAAGTTTGTTGTAGACGAAAATTTGTCCATTTCAATTTGATTGTACTTATTTCTGTTTAATTGTTACTATTAAATTGATCATCATCATGAGTGACTTGTGTTGTAAACTCAAACGTGTCTCTCCTTATACCGTTGAACTTGGTGAAGGTCCACATTACGATGAGAAAACTGGTCGATTGTATCATGTTGATCTAATTAAAGGTGGATGTTATTACCTTGATACGAAAACGGGAACTTATGAATCAATATATTTCGCCCCTGGTTTAGCTTTAATTGTTCCAATTGAAGGTAAAAAGGATAAATTTGTCATCACTCAAAATCAGTCACTTTTCTCATTGGACTGGTCAACAAAAGGACTTGAGTTTATTACTTGTGTCGATTCGGGTCAAGATACTCGGGTCAACGATGGTAAATGTGATTCTAAAGGTAGACTCTGGTTTGGTACAATGAATTGGGAACGTAAACCTGGTTACTTTGAACGTGGTATTGGTAATCTTTATTTAATTGATTCTGATCGCAAATTGACCCGGAAACAAGATAATCTAACCATTTCCAATGGATTAGCCTGGTCATCTGATAATAGAAAATTTTTTTTCATTGATTCAATTGAACGTCAAGTTTGGGCTTACGATTATGACCATGAAACTGGAAATATAAGTGAGTAAAGACAGAGAAAGAAAGAGAGAGAGAGAGAGAGAGAGAGAGAGAGAGAGAGAGAGATAATAAACTGTGAAATGTTATTTTTATGATCTAAAACAAGAGCAATTAACTTTTAATTATCTACAGGTAATCGTAAAACTTGTTTCGATTACAATGGTTTATCTGATTTCGTTTCCAATGAAGTTCCTGATGGTATGACAATTGATTTACATGACAAACTTTGGGTAACTTCATTTGATGGTGGAAAGGTGACTCGTTTCGATCCGGAAACAGGTAAAGTTCTTGGTATAATTAAAACCCCTGCAAGTAAAACAACTTCGGCTACATGGGGTGGAGATGATTTTCGAACTCTCTATTTAACATCGGCCACTTTTGGTGCTTCGAAAGATGAACTTTCTACAACCCGATGCTGGTGCCGTTTTCTCGGTTACATTTGAACAGGAAAACATTCGTGGCTCAAAAAATCATTCATTCAAACTTAATTGAAAATGAAAACAAACAAAACCATTTACAATAATGATAAACGATTCTAATTTCGTTCCATTACAACCGAAAACCAAAATTTGAAAAAAAAACTTTCTCGAAATTAGTTCATTTCGATTCCAATAGATGGCAGCATTTTCGAAGCAAAAATGATGAAATTCATAACCAACGCCATCTGATGTTTCAGAAATGTACTAATTGGCAAAGTTTTTTCTAATCAGTAATTTACTCTTTACAATTAGTCAATTAATAAATGAGAATTGAAAACATTATTAATTACATGTCAATAAAGGATGTAAATCGATATGAAAATGTAATCGATATGAATCAGTATTCGGGGGTTGGGGTAAATAAATTAAATAAATTAAATACAATTAGTTGATTGTAAATTGTATTAGAGCTAAAGTAACAGTAAATTAATTGTTTCAATGTCTAATAATTTCATTCGTAAAGATTATCATTTGATTTACTTAATATTTTGATTGTGTGTGTGTTTAGTTGATCCAATTTTCCACAAATCATCACATTGATTAGCTGATTGTTTCATTGATTATGCTGAATGTCACCCTGACCTGTTCATCTTAATCTGATTTGGTTTACGGTCACTAAATTGTAATCCAATTTACATCACAATTTACACTTTAATTGTGTTATAATAATGATTTTCTCTTTTTCCTCATCAGGATTAAAATTTTCACTATACAATTGATTAAATGATTAACAATTAACGAAGAGAAAAAGACAACTCTGAACTTGATTAACTTGGATTAAGAAAAAAAGAAATTGCTAATAATTAATATCGACTAAATCGACTAATTAATAGTTGATTAACTCTAATTTTCTCAGAATAGAAAATTTAACAAATATAATTGAATTTGCAATAAAGAAAAAAAGAAAAATAATCTTAATTGTAATAAGATTTTTTAATTAGAACAATTAACTTTAGGATTCGATGATCGATAAACATTTCTTTCAAAATCGATTCTTTTTCCAAAAAGGTGATAAATGGATCAGCTGAGAAAAAGAATCTTTGTCAGTAGTTTTATTTGTGTTCTTTTCTTTTCTTTTCTGGTTCAGTTGATCTTCACTTCATTTCTTTAATTAATGTTTCACAATTCGCCAACAAATTAATCTGACGATGTGGACAATTTAAATTCTAATTGTGACAATCAATATTCTAATCACCGATCGTGTTGGAAAAATTCATCTAATCAATTCCATTGAATCTATTACTTAAAGGTAACAACCATTTTCTTCATGTCTCTTTTATTTTTCTTCCTCCATTTTACTTTTTTTCTATGATTAGTATTTGTTTCTAATTGATTAACAGCCTATTATAGTTAATTGGTGACAATCAACATTTCTCTTAATTGTCTATTCAAATTGTCACAATCAATTCTATTCCTTATCATATATTTTACTCTATAGAAACAGGTAACTTATATTTTTTTTGCTCTATTTTGGTGTACAGTGATGCCTTTCAAAATGACCCATCATGGTGACAGCGATTTGTAGAGTAGGTGATTCGAAAGGGTTAAAATTAATCAATTATTTTGATTGAAAAAAAATACTAAACACAAATAATTATGAATTATAATCCTCAAAACAATCTGAACTTGAAGCGAAATTATTAATTTTCATTTTTTAGACCAATTTGATGAGATTTAATCTTAATTAAAACTTAAAAATCTTCCAAATCTAATGTTACCATAACGATGGACCATATTGAAAGGAATCACTGTATAATCAATTATCTTGATTGTGTTTTGTTGCTTTTCCAAAAGCATATAAATTAAATGTTTTCTGTTTGCAATTTAGATACATTAAATGATCAATTTTAATTGATAAGTTATAATTATTGTTTCTCCACCAAGATGATTAGTGTTGATGGATCAGTCAAACCGAGAGGACGATTTGCTGATAGAGCGAAAGCTAAACTTAAAGCAATTAAATCAGTTTTCTCGTCTCGATCAAGTCGCTTATCTAAAATTGGAAGTGGCCTAGAAGATATTTCCAACACTTATTGTGACACTTTGATAACAGTTTCGTTATTAATCTTGGCAATTGTCAATGCAGTATGTAAGTAGTAATAATTGTTTGCGTGCAAATAAGCATTGGGCTGGAAAACGAGGGAACTTGGTCTTAGACTAAATTTTAAACGTTTTTTTAGCGAGCTCAAAGTGATCTGTGTGCTTAAATTAAGCTTTGAGCTCAGGTTTTGGGAAAAAACATCCTAAGCGACAAATCAACTTAAAGAGGAGATTCCCTCGGCTATAAGCGCTTATTTAACACGGTAATCAACAATTGAATCAAATTGTTTAATTTTTTTGATTTTTTTCTCACTAGTTTTGTATCCCATTTATTATGGTGGCTTTTTAGCCGTCATTTACCCTGATTGGATGGCACCCTTGGCCCAGAACTACAACGAGACAGAGGACATTGAACTGCAATCGGCCAACTCTTTACAAGTTATGGTATCGCGACTCAATTTGATTTCAAAAAAATTGGCTACGTTTTGTTACCGATCATCAACTGAAATATCAAGTTTATGTCAAAAATAATTGATTGATTTTCTGTGTATCCTTTAATTGTTACAGTAGCAGAAATACAATTAATCCTTAGAGGTTGATTGGTGTGCCTTTGATTACCCGTTTCCTTCATAATTGTTTTATAATCGAAATTGTTTTTCCTTTATTGATTTTCCTCTATTGGTTCTTGAGCCGTTGTGACACATTTGATGTGGGTACTTTTGCTTATTGAAATGCGACGGTAAAAGGGCGTCTCATCTTTGGCTACTTGTGTCCAGTCGGGTTGATGTTGTTTAGCAGCAAATCCTGATATCCATAAGGCAATTCCCTGTAATATCCCTCAAGATAAAAATGGTTATTGGTTAATCTACACGTGAATTTGATTGTTAATTGTTGATCAAATTTACCGTAGCAAGTCCAAGGCAGACCAATGGCCATCCAGCTTTACGATAGCCCATATTTTCAACGAGAAAGCCAGCCAATGCAGGACCCACTCCATTTCTGATGAAAAAAAAAACAAATTGTAAAAGTTAATTGTTGTTGACTTTTGATTTTACTCATTAAATTGAACAATTAGTATATTCAAATTTATCATAGAGTAAAAGTATTATTTACCCAAAGCAATAGAAAGCAACGAAAATACTACTAATTGTCCGTGGTATCAATGGATCGTCACAATATTCACTCCGTCTAAATAATAGAAATAACAATTAGCGACTAACAATTAAGAAATTAGGTTAATATATACCCATGAGCTTTCATTGCCCCATCAAATGTACCGACAAATGCGATCGCTAGGCCGATATGTAAAGTTATTTGTGATAAAACGATAGTCCAAAGTTGACTAATAACAGAATTGAGAAATGGAATCAAATGAAAATCAATCACAATTAAGAGCAATAGTTACGCTGTGAACGAAGTCCATCATCATCATTTTCATCTACAGCATCAAGTTTATTAACAATTTCTTTATCCAGTTCTTTCTCCTTCTCTTTTATATCCTTCAATAATTAACTTTAGGATTCGATGATCGATAAACATTTCTTTCAAAATCGATTCTTTTTCCAAAAAGGTGATAAATGGATCAGCTGAGAAAAAGAATCTTTGTCAGTAGTTTTATTTGTGTTCTTTTCTTTTCTTTTCTGGTTCAGTTGATCTTCACTTCATTTCTTTAATTAATGTTTCACAATTCGCCAACAAATTAATCTGACGATGTGGACAATTTAAATTCTAATTGTGACAATCAATATTCTAATCACCGATCGTGTTGGAAAAATTCATCTAATCAATTCCATTGAATCTACTTAAAGGTAACAACCATTTTCTTCATGTCTCTTTTATTTTTCTTCCTCCATTTTACTTTTTTTCTATGATTAGTATTTGTTTCTAATTGATTAACAGCCTATTATAGTTAATTGGTGACAATCATTATTTCTCTTAATTGTCTATTCAAATTGTCACAATCATTTCTATTCCTTATCATATATTTTACTCCATAGAAACAGGTAACTTATATTTTTTTTTGCTCTATTTTGGTGTTACCATTGGAAAAGAATAATTTATGTTTATAATTTAAGTTCTTCCGTTAGTTTTAATCAAGTTACATTGTAATGAGAATTATGTTTAATATGATATCGGGAAAGTGTTTCCAAATCGATCATCAGATTACCTTGTAACCACCAGATTACCATCAGATTTTATGTGATTCAAGGATTTACAGGTTTCAAATCAACAGAACAAAAAAAAGTAAAATCTATATACAGTCAAGCCGCTTAGGTTTGAATCCATTTTCTATTAATGTTAAGTAAATGAATTCGCCATCGGCTAATCCAACGGGTTAATCCGAATTCACATCAAGTGGAATAGATTCTGAGCTTAATGGAAAATGGATTCTAACCAAAAAGAAATTTGTTCCAACATGAATATTCATGTTCATGTTCTTGTTCATATTTAGAGATATAGTTTGACCATCACGGTGTCTTCGTCCATGGGTGGCGATCATTACAATTAGTTGGTTACGGTGGTTGAATCTGGTTCCTCAAATTTGGTTAAATAGCTTTATGATGTTAGTATGAGCAATCAGAAAGCTAAATAACCAAAGATAAGGAATCCAGAGAACAATTTAATCACTTGAGCTTACCTTTTTGTTTTTTTCTATTGATTGGAAATTTTAATAATAAGAGATGAAAACGAAGGTAAACACGTTGGCATTAGTTTGATGATGATTATGATTAGTATGATGATGTAGCAATTCACTAGACACTCCGATAGCGAAGAATCAAGAAGAAGAAGTGATGAGAATTCCGGGGAGAGACAGAGAAAATGAGAGAGAGAGAAAATAGAGAGAGAGAGAGAGAGAAAATGAAGCTCAAAAAGCTTAAAAATGTCCTGAAGTTAAGGTGAACCCGGGAATAAGTTAAGGTCATCTTCTTTTCTTCATCCCTATGAACCCCTGAGGCCGCAATCTTGATGAGGAAACGAACTTAAGTTTATGTTGATAAACTGGTTTCGCCATCACTTTTTTTCATCTTCATCAAAAATCAAGGCTCTTTATTACCTTAGCAAATACTTAAGCCTAAGCCACAAATCCACAATTTTTTCTCTTCAATTTTATTTTACTTTCCCTTTAGAGACTTCAAAGGAAAACCAGTTTTTTTTTCTTTGGTATTATTTGGTATTGATAAACTAGAAAATCAACCTGTAGACAGACCGAAGAGAAAGAGAGAGACAGAGATAAAAGAAAGAGAAAAAGGAAAAGTTCCATAGTTGATCACGTGACTATTGGCATTTTCTATTGGTAGAAATCAACGATCTCTCAAGTTGTTTCTCTAGCATCATCAGAGGGAGAAGAAGAGAGAACGATAACCAAAAGTGAGAGAGAGAGAGGAAGAGAGTAAAAGATAAAACAGACAGAAAGAAGGAAAGCTTTAGCTCTTTCAACTCTCTCTCTCTCTTTTTCTCTCTCTTATTTTCTCTCTCTTTTTCTCTGTCTCTCCCCGGAATTCTCATCACTTCTTCTTCTTGATTCTTCGCTATCGGAGTGTCTAGTGAATTGCTACATCATCATACTAATCATAATCATCATCAAACTAATGCCAACGTGTTTACCTTCGTTTTCATCTCTTATTATTAAAATTTCCAATCAATAGAAAAAAAAAAGGTAAGCTCAAGTGATTAAATTGTTCTCTGATTCCTTATCTTTGGTTATTTAGCTTGATTGCTCATACTAACATCATAAAGCTATTTAACCAAATTTGAGGAACCAGATTCAACCACCGTAACCAACTAATTGTAATGATCGCCACCCATGGACGAAGACACCGTGATGGTCAAACTATATCTCTAAACATGAACAAGAACATGAACATGAATATTCATGTTGGAACAAATTTCTTTTTGGTTAGAATCCATTTTCCATTAAGCTCAGAATCTATTCCACTTAATGTGAATTCGGATTAACCCGTTGGATTAGCCGATGGCGAATTCATTTACTTAACATTAATAGAAAATGGATTCAAACCTAAGCGGCTTGACTGTATATAGATTTTACTTTTTTTTGTTCTGTTGATTTGAAACCTGTAAATCCTTGAATCACATAAAATCTGATGGTAATCTGGTGGTTACAAGGTAATCTGATGATCGATTTGGAAACACTTTCCCGATATCATATTAAACATAATTCTCATTACAATGTAACTTGATTAAAACTAACGGAAGAACTTAAATTATAAACATAAATTATTCTTTTCCAATGGTAACACCAAAATAGAGCAAAAAAAATATAAGTTACCTGTTTCTATGGAATAAAATATATGATAAGGAATAGAATTGATTGTGACAATTTGAATAGACAATTAAGAGAAATAATGATTGTCACCAATTAACTATAATAGGCTGTTAATCAATTAGAAACAAATACTAATCATAAAAAAGTAAAATGGAAGAGCTTGAAAAGAAATTGGAAAAAAAGATAATCCAACTTTTCGGTTAATCGTTTGTTCCGCCATCTGGTGGATAAGAAAACCGATCAACTTTGAATTTTTAGAATAAAATTTCTCATGTTGTTTATTTTTCTATTTTCAATTTGATTATTGTTATTCGTTTTGATTAATTAAAGTGTCATCTTGTCTTTTTTCTCTTTCACAGAACCAAATAATTTACAATTGTGTGTGATAATTAAGCAACTTGATTTATCGTTGATTTTTTGTCTCTATTTTGGTAATTAGAAACTATTGCTTTGCAATATTCAGCAAGTCTGATGAAATTTCATTTTCTGACAATCATTTAGTTGATAAAATCTATTAAGGTTACAGATCTCATAATAATTATTGGAATTTCTGTTTATTTCGTTGATACCAAATCTAATTTAATCTTGTATTAACATGGAATCAGGATTGATTGCATTTACTTTGACCACCTTTATATTGGCTGATTTATGGACGATTTCTCAGCAATCTAGTGATAATTTGATTCTCAAAAGTGTTGCCATTGTTCATCGACATGGTGATCGAACACCAATTTCCACCTTTCCAACCGACAGTTATGCTAATGCCTCTTTTTGGCTTGATGGTCCTGGTGAATTGACCTCTGCTGGTAAAGCTCGTATGTTTGCTCTTGGGCAATATTTCCGTGAAAGATACGGTGACTTTTGGCCTTTAAATGTGCGTGAAGTTGAAGTTCGCAGTTCAGATGTAAATAGGTGTCTCGAAAGTTCCGCTCTTGTCCTTGCTGGTGCTTTTCCACCCTCTGGAAGGTGGATCTGGTCTAACAAGTTGCATTGGCAACCATTTCCTATTCATACTGCACCTCGAACTTATGATAATATAAATAATCCATCAGCTGCTTGTCCAGTATGTGAGAAAGAGGAAGAGAGATTGAAAAAGTCACCCGAATACAAGCAACATGAAGTTGAATTTCATGATCTCTTTCATTACCTGACCAAATACACAGGTATGAATATAACTGATCTATTCTCAGCCCAACGTATTCACGATACACTCAAAATTCAAGCGGAAAACAATTACACTTTACCTTCATGGGCAACAACTGATGTAATGAATAGACTAAAGAGAATCTCTGATCTCACCTTTACTTTGGATTATTCAACATATTTAATTCAAAGACTTCGAGGTGGAGAATTTTTAAAAGATTTGAAATCACATTTCACAACAATCATGAAACAATCATTAAAATCTCAAGATGAGTCAATCCCTATTGTTGATGATGTTTCCAAGAAAATCTTTTTCTATTCAACCCACGATTCACAACTGTCCATAACCCTAAGTACTTTAAAAGTTTTCGATAAACTCAGTCCACCCTATGGATCAAGTATAATTTTCGAGTTGTACCAAGAAAAATCAACTAATCATTTCAAATTATCACTTCTCTATCTAAATGACACTTATTCTAAGCAACCTCATTACCTTAATCTCCCCGAATGTGATGATACCAAATTCTGTGATATCGAACAGTTTTACCACCAAATTTTTGTTTATTTACCCGAAAATTGGAGAAGTGAATGTGGCCTTGAAGGAATTCATTGTGAAGAGGATTTGGTGACATTATCGTTGAATTTATTAACATTTATCGTAATCTCTGTTCTCGTTTCCCTAACTTTAATTTACTTTGCAATTAAGAAGAAAGGTAAAGATGCTTATGTTTACCAAATGTTACCAGTTCTCTGAAATGAACCAAAAATAATGGAAATTGTTATTTTCGTTTTGGTAAAATGAACAAAAAAAAATCCATTCATTTGTAAATTGCATTTCCATTGTTCTAACAATAAAACTCTAAATCATTCTAATGAATTGTAAACATTTCCTTCCCTTGACCTTCAAGAACGAGATTCATGAGATACTATGAACAAGTTGATCTATTCTATTGATTAATGGTCAGTTTATGGTTTAGAGTTTAAATTACCAATCAAATGACCAAGAAAGTTTATGCCACCAAAATAGTACTGATCAAATACTAATTGAGGAAGTTGGATGCATGTACTTGAATAATTAACTAATTGTTCAACTAGTTTTTGCTTGTTTTACGTTCATTTGACAGTCATAACATTTTTTGATTTCTTAATTGTTTAGTATTAACAGTGTTTCGTTGATACTATTGTTGGTGTAACAATCAAAGTTAATCAACATGATTGAAATCGCAGTTATTATTATCGACGAGATGGATAAACAATAGGCAGAGGAAAAGGAAATGAACAGAGTGAGAAATTCAAAGAGAGAGAGAGAGAGAGAGGAGGGGGAGGAGATTAGACACTTATTCTTATTATTATCATAGTGAATCGGTGATAGACAGAAGAAGATGATAATGATGACAAGATGAGGAAGAGAAATGGTGTTTTTCTAGATTCAGTCTATTATTCACAGAGAAAGGGACAAACAGGAAGAGGAAATGGTTTGGATGGAGGTTGATGAAAAGTGGGAGGAAGAGATGAGCATTTAGTTGGAATTACTTTTAATTGTTTCGATTTTTGTTTTTCAATTGATTCCTTAAAGAGTAACAACAATTAGCGATATTAAAATTTGATTGGTGATCAATTTAAATCAAGGTAACTGTGAAAAGAAAATGGAAACAGGAAAAGGAAACAGTAATGATAATTGTTGTTCTTTGTTAATTGTCAAATGATCAGTTAATTTGATTTAATCGAACCTTCTAATAGGTTTCACTTTGTATCTCAATCATTTGGTTACTTTTTTCTACAATTAATATTAATTGTTAGCAATAGAAAAATATTACTACTTGGCAAAGAAGATGATCAAGATGATGATGATTATGATTGTGATTATAACGATGATGACCAGAGAAGAGCATAAAACATAATATTAATTGTTGTCTTGTTAATGATAACAAAAGATGATAATGTTAAAACAATAGTTTCTTAATCATATTTCTCATGATAACATTGATAATAATTAATTAGTCTTAATCTTAATTATAAATAATAACAACCTAGAGGATTTTGGTTGTTTTGTTTGATTCCTTGCTGTTGATCAATTGATTTTAATTGTTGGACCACCATGTTGGATTAGTATCTCACTTTTAAAACTTTGATAACTTTAATTATCGTACAAATTTGATCGTTGATTTGATTACAGTTAATCTTGTTTTCTAGTTAAATTTTGTATATTTGAGTCAATTTGTAAGCTTTTAAATTGTAACTTTTGAAAATCTCATTTTGTCTTGTTAATTGTGATCATGATGATTAGTAAATTTTTTGCTTCCAATTTGATTTTAAGGTTTATTGATCATTACATGTATTTCATTAATTATTCTGCTTTCCAATTAACTAATTGTTAGCGGAAGAGATGATCAATTTTACGAGAAGAGCCTGAGAGAGAAGGAGCCAAATGATAATTAGAACACAATCAATTCCTCTTTAGAATAGATTACAATCATCTGATTGTTGACATTTAATGACAATCAACTAATTTACATGTTGTCAAAATTTTCTTCCATTTAATTTATCAAATAAACTTTTTGATTAACTGATCGATTCAATTTAAATTTGTCTTTACCAACAAAGTTTTAAATACTTTTTTCCGCCTTCCAATATACAGAATGTAATCTAAATCAACCGAGAAACAAAATGATATTAGACATAAACAATTATCTCATCAAAATGAAACCCAGAATAATAGACCAATAACTAGAATAAAATCCAAACAATTAACTAAATAAAGAAGAAAAAAAAATTAATTCAATAAAATCAATAACAATTGAATTAACAGTTAACCAAATAAAACAAAAATGATTAATATCAATTCAAGAGCCAAATTTATAAAATGATAATCAATTTTACGAGAGAAATTGAAAACACAATCAGACTAATCAAACATCCACTTATTAATGGTAATTGGACAAACAATTAAAACTTTTCGGCAAAATAATTGTCACAATCAATTGTTCCGAGTCGAGTAAAAAAAGGCGCGGATATAAAGGTAAACACGATTGACTTATTATCGCGGGTTTTTTGCCGCCAAAAAGAATTTGACCCGAAATTCCGCGAGATGGCGCTCGGTGAACGTTCTCTGATTGGTTAGATTCAATGTAATTTCATCTTAATGACAGCAAAAAATAATAAGTATTTTCTGTTTGTCTTGATCAATTTATTTTATTTTAATTCTTATTAATTATTTAATTGGTGTGTTGCTTGTTTTTATATAATAATTTATTTAATTGATTGTGTAACCATTTTTGGTTAATATCCGCGTCTATTAGTGGAAAATGTTTTATTCCGTTTTTGTGCTCGGTAAAAAGGGTCCCCTTGCTCGGGTTTGGTTGGCTGCTCATTGGGACAAAAAGATTACTAAAGCTCAAATATTGGAGACAAATATTGTTGAATCAGTTGATTCTATTCTTCAACCTCGTGTTAAATTATCTCTTCGAACATCTTCACATCTTCTACTTGGTATTGTGCGTATTTATGCTAGAAAAACTCTTTACCTTTTACAAGATTGTCAGGATGCTGCTTTCAAAATAAAATCTGCTTTCAGGCCTGGAGCTGTTGACTTGCCTGATGGTAAAACAGAGGCTGCAATTTCTGCCATCACTCTTCCCGAGATGTTGGATTTTGTAAATGATTTTGATCTACTTGCTGAACAACCAGTTCAAATTGAACCTCTTCAAACCAATACCAATATTCGTAGTATTACTCTAGTTGAAGATATTGCTAGTATGCCTGTTGATGTTCCTCTCTTTGGTGAAGGTAAAGATTGGAATGAGTTTAGCTCTATTCAAGTGTCCAGTGCTTCAAAGATGAGTGATTCATCAATTTTAGATATAAGTCAAAAACAAACATCACATCCTTTGGATATTTTTGATCGACCTACAATTGATGATGGTTTTGGTGGTCCCGTTGGTTTGACTGATGTAGATGATATGTTTGCCTTACCTGTCCCTCCTGAAGCACAACAACAGATGCAAGCAGAGGCTGATGCAGCCGAAGAAAGAGAAAAAGGAGAAGAACCAGAAAGACCTTTATCCAGATTAAGTGATAGAAGTGATAGATCTAGCATGTCATATGGAGCTCCACCTTCTATTGCACCTTCTGGACCATCATCTCCCGGTTCTCCACCTCCCATGATACCCCAAGATCAAGATATTCAAGATATTCAAGATATTGCACCAATAATTGATGAAAATCCTGTACCTAGTGAAGATAAACAAGGAATTGATGACCTACAAGGACCAGAGGACCCAGAGGCAATAAGAGCAGAACAGAGTATCTTCCGAAGACCAGAAACACAGCAAGAATCAATGGTTCTAGAGCCCTTAGAGGGACCTGGATTCGAGAGGAAACGTAAAAGGCGAAAGAAGCTTGGAATTATTATCGATGAAGTTAAAACTTTATCCGGTGAAGAGATGAAATCTCAACTTTCAGATACTTCCGATATTGTCACAACCTTGGACATCGCTCCTCCGACCAAAAAGTTGATGCACTGGAAGCGAACTGGTGGTAGTGAAAAACTATTCGCACTCTCTGAAAAACCCATTCCATCTAAAGTTTTATTAGTCGTAAGTGAAAATTTAACTCTTTTTATTATTATTCTCAACATCGTTCTAACATTATGCTTTCCACCCCCTTTTGGTACAGTATTATACTCGACATCTTGTTACAACTCGTATCTCAGTTGAAGAAGAATTACCTGAAGATATGATTCAAGAATCAAATATGGAAGAACAGCAACCTCAAGAAGAACTTCGAGATATGCATGAGCATGTACAAAAAGAACAACCTGAAGAATTGTATGAACCTATTGTTCCACCAATTTCACCCCTTAAAGAAATTCAACCTCCCAAAACCCCAAGAACACCGAGGAGAGAGGCAACAGAACATAAATCTCCAGTCAAAAAGAAGAGGAAAACCGCCGATGAACGGGAAACAGAGAAAAAAGAGCGAAATAAATCAAAAGCCGTTTCACATGAACCTCCCGCCGAAAAATTACCAAATAATATTCCAGACCATATCAACGATACAGATCTCTCTGAGTTAAGAGAAGGTTCCATCCAAAGCCCAGAAAGAGCAGGAAATTTACCAAGTTTCTCATTCGCTCGATCAAGCAATCCCTCAATTCACCAGAACGACTTTGAAGAAGATGAACCTTTCGACCAATACGAACAACCAATGTCTGTAGGACCGGTAAGTAGTCAAATATTTTCTCACCATCAAAGTGGAACATTTTTTACAATTATAAAGTTAACTAAAATTGTAATTCCAATCTAATAATAGCCCGAGGAAATGATGCCTGATGAAACAGCGGAGCAATATGAAGAACGTATGAGAAATAAGCGAACCAATGTTCTTCTTCGTTTGATGTCCAAACAATTAGAAGATGGAGGAACATCATTCGGTCGATTAGTGTCTCACAATAGACGTAAACAAGTAAGTTAACAAAGAGAATTTAAATATTTTAAACAATCATATTAATCAATTTTCCTCTTTTTCCTCAGGTTGCACAGAAATTTTTCTCTCTTCTGGTCCTTAAAAAGCAACAAGCAGTCGAACTGACGCAAGACATATCAGTTCCATACGGAGAGATCGCAATCTCTAAAGGTTATCGTTATGATGAAGCATTAGCGGCATGTGCTTCGTAAAAGAAGCAAAAAGTTAATCGCACACAATTTATTCATAATTAACAATTTCCCCACAAACAAGCAAACAAAAACCAATCCAATTAACTTACTTCCTTCATCACAAACAAATGGACTAGGATCACATTGATTGATATCTTCACTTTTTTTTACTAACCAACCTAATATCAAACATTTAAGCATCAAAAGTGTTCATCTTTTGATTAATCACATCGTCTGTATAATAAGTAATACACAACATTGTAACCTAACATTGTCAAAATAAAAGAAACAACCAAACAAAAATCAAACAAAATTAAAAGTGATCAATCCAATTCATCGGTCCATAAAATCACGTGGATTTTGAGTACATAACCCATTTGATGATGTAAATTAGGTTAGAGGTTCAATTATTATGTAATTGCGAAGTGAAACTAATCAAGTTTCATTTTAGATGACAGAGAAAAGGTTTTAAACAATCAAATTTAACTTAAAAAGTTTTATTGATTTTAAAATGACATTAGAGAATTGGAGAAACCTTTGTGCGCATGCGTACGCGCATGCGCTGAGTGACGATTCTTTTGTTTTCTAGACTCCTGTGGTGAACTTTGATTGTTTTTATTCACAATGCTAATTTAGGTTTCGTTAGTTAGTTAACAAGTGATTAAGATGGCGATTGGTGATGATTATAATCCGCTACCTGTTGACGAAGATGAGGCCGTGGAAGAGGATAATTTACTTCACTCGGATAACGATGAATCAAGTGATGACTCTCTGATTGATTCTCAACCAGCAACAGCATCTCCACATCTACATGATAAGTAAGTTTTTTTCATTCTCTTGAATTGATTAACAATTAATTTTGTAATTTTAAAATCTCTTTTCTTTTTTGCATTAATTACCAGATATCGGATGATTGAACTCATCTCTGGATTACTTGGTTTAATCTGTTGTATTCCTTGGAACGTTTTCATCACAGCAACTGATGTGAGTGTCATTTTCTATTCTTTGGGTTTTCTTTTCCAGAGAAATTTCAACTCTCTCAAATTATGACTTTCATTTAATGTCTTTTTGTTATTGCACAATCTTTTATAGTGTTGGAATTATAAATTTCGTAATGTCAACAATTCCACCTCTGGTCCCACCCCAATTCAAGTTTATTTTAATAGTTACCTTTCAATGGCAAACAATGTTCCAAATATATTGGTGGTTTTATTCATGATTTTCTTTGGCCATAAGTAAGAATTTACTACCTGTTATCTACCTGTAATCTATTTATTTAATACGTTCTCTTTTTAACAGAATTACAGCCACAATAAGAAGTGTTACTTCCATGTTGATAATAATGGTGCTGATGATCACATCCACAGTTCTTGTTAAGGTTGACAGTGATAATTGTAAGTGTTTTTTATCTTTAATTCCCAATGACAGGCATGTGATTAACTATCAAATAACAAAGGAGTCACTCAGTAACAGGTTGTTCTTTGCACTTTTTTATCTTCCAGGGCAAGATGCCTTCTTTTGGTTAATCATATTCAATGCGTTGATCCTCGGTTTATGTACCGGCATTTTGGCCTCGAGTATCTCTGGTGTAGTGTCTTCTTTCCCATCTAAATGCATTCAAGCCGTTGTTCTCGGTCAAGCCATTTCTGGCATTTTTGCTGTGATTTGTCAAATTGTTTCGTTAAGTGCTCATAGTGATCCCCGAGCCTCAGCCATGTATTATTTTATCTGTGCTGATATGTTATTAGCAATAGCATTTGTTGCGTATTTAATTGCACGTAAAACGGTGAGTCACAAATCTTTGTTGATTCTTTGCCAAAAATATTAAGGTAATTTTTCCTAATTCTCATCTTATTCTTATTCTATCCAATTCCTTATTATAGCCTTATTATAGATATTATCGTAAACGAGGTATGTTTACATTATCAATTGATAATATCTCAGAAAGATCGATTGCCCGAAGGTCAGATCTTATTGCAATTTCTCGAGCTATATGGCCGCATTTATTATCAGAATTCCTGGTCTTAGGTATAACTTTTGCTGTTTATCCTCCGCTTATGGTTCTGGTTGCACCAAAGAACAAAGATTCTCTCATAATTTCGGGTGAACTATTTTTACCCGTTTTCTGTTTCCTCTTATTTAATATCAACGATTTACTGGGTCGTTTGGTCGGCAAATGGTTCCCCTTCCCCCAATCAAAGCCAATCTATTTAATCATATTATCACTCAGTCGGTTACTATTAGTGTTTGGCCTTATGGTTTGTAATATTCATCCCAGAAATTATCTTCCTGTTTTATTTGAATCTGAATATATTTATGCCATATTGGTAATGTTGTTGGGTTTATCTAATGGATATGTACTCACAGTCAGCATGTTCCAAGCGCCTTTATCTGTGAAACCTGAGTTGCAGGAGAAGACGGGATTCATTATCTCTGCTGCTCTGGGTTTGGGAGTTTTCGCCGGGTCAATAGCTTCCAATGTGGTTCTCCGACTAATCTAGATTATTTTCAAATGGACATAATCAGCATAATAATTTTCACACTTCATCGTGTTGAACTTATAGTGAGCATTAAACAAAAAATGTGAAAGAAATGAAAGAAAAACGTGCATTTGGTTAACCAAAAAAAAAAGTCCCCAACACCAAGTAACTAAAACAATCATTTAATTTGATCATTTTCTCTCTCTCCTTTTATATTAAATTGCTATTTATCAAATCTATATTATTGTAATTCCATTGATCATCACAATAATACGACGATCGATCCACCCGAAATTCAACGCCAGTGTATTTGATTGCATTTTTGTCCAAAAATCTCTTTCGTTGTGTAAATCATTGGTTTCTAATTCCCCATTCAAGTGACAAAACAAAATCTCATCTAATTATATATTTTCAATCCTTTTTTTTTCTTATCGAACTAATTAACTTCTTAATTAAATCACAGCAAGTTCACCTCTTTTTCTATTATCGAAAATATTTAAACTGTTCACCTTTAATATGCGAACAATTTTAATAAAAATCGTTTTGATTTAAATTACTTATGTTAAAGTGTCTCAAATGATTTAAGAAAAAAGAAATGTTTTAATCAGTTAATGAGATTTGAAAATATAATCACAACAATTGGATTACGATTGTTGACCAGTTTTCAACAGAGCTAAAGCCTTTTCCAAATTAGAAACGGCGGTGTTAATATCTTCAAATTGTAAAGCACTTCCAGCGTATTTGCAGTATTTTTGAGCCTGAATCAGGGAATCGGCATCTAATTGTCGAGTGGAACCTGTTGATTAGAATTAGGAAAATTGAATTAGAGATTAAATTTAGTTGGTGTAAGAGTTAATATTTACCAGTAGTTGGTGTCGGTTGATTGGTTGTTGCTGTTGGTACACTTGGTGGGACATAAGGTGAACTTGTTGGAACCTGAGGATTTGGTTGACTCGGTGGTGTGTAAGGTGGTTGAATGGGTGTTCCTGGTGGAGGTGGATAGTAACCAGGATACTGATTATAATAGTTTCCAGGAATATTAGAAGGAGGTTGAGTTGGAAAGTCTAGTGAATTTGGTTTTCCATCTTGCGAAGTGGTTGCAATTGAAGATGAACCACCGACATCATCAGGAACTTTACCTTCATCTCCATTTCCTTCATCTTCCGGTGCCAATGGAGTCTCTCCATTTTTAATACATCGAGTTATATAAGCGGCTCTCCATTTGGCATATTTTGACTTTTGAGCCACTTCTTCACTTGTATCACCAAAAACATTAAGAGTATCAAACAATTGAGATGCAGTGAAAAAAAGTTTAATTGTATTCCTGTGATTAGAAGATAAAAAACAATAACGTTAATAATATACAAAGAATTGATTTCTAATCCGATAACAATTGTTTCGGAAATAGAATCCTTTGAAATGAGCAACTCTGAGAACTGAAAGATAATGATGAATCTATGTAAACATTAACAGGATGTAAGATGAAATGATTCAATGGTTCACACAATCAATTAACTCTTACCTTCCAGCCTTGGAACTTCTGTCCTGAGAATCAGCTAAGGTGAACAATTTCATCGCATGATTTTCAATATGAGCCTGAGCGACTAATTCATTGCTCATCGCTTCATTGTCTTTATGAACAACCTTTTCCTAGGGAATGAATGAAAACGTAAACAAATGGTTGTAGCAAATGAAACGAAATCTAATGACAACATAATCAATACGAACCTTTTCCAGCCAGGCCATGATTGTAGTTAGGAAATTAAGACAATCAGGAGATTTCTTATCGATATCAAGGCCCAATTGAAAGGCATAGAGACGACACCAATAGGTGACAATTGGATCAACCTTTTCATGGTCACTCGCTGCCTTCAGGATTCCCAGCAAAGGCTTCAGGGCTGGAGGCATAGGTGGAAGGTCCAAAGGTGTTGAAGCCATGATTAACAATCAAATTAAAAGATAAAAATAAAATAATCAATCAAATGATCAATAAAATTGTGACAAAATCTCAACAAAACAAAAGCAAATGTTTTGACAATTGAAGTGATCAGCTGATGTTCAGGGTTAGTATAATAAAAAGCAAACTTAGTAAGAGACAAAATTTGTCAACTCTTTCAAAGATTGATGAAACAATCAACAGTTTTTAAATTAATCTAATCAGTAGAAAATTAATTCTCGTAAACAAATTGTTACTATAAAACAGTTGAACCAATTTCTTTTCATTCATTAAGATTTTCATTGATAAAAAGAAAATAAAAAATTTAAATGTTCAACTTTTTGCTTGATTTTTTTTTCTCTCTCAATAAATTCAATTGAAATTTGATTCTATAGATTATCTCTATTTATTCAACTAATTAAACACAAATTGCTATGATACAATTAGATTAACAATTTGAACAACTCGATGTGATCAAACGACAATTTATTCTGAATAAGTTTAACCAGAGAACTAAAAATGAACAATTAACTTTCATTGGAAAAGCAATTTAACCTTGTAATGAATTACGAAAGTAAATTAATTACAAACAGCCAATTAATCCGAGGGTGTTATTGGTTTATCCTTGGATCAAGTGAGAAACGCCCAAGGGGATTGTGATTGTGTCGATCGGACAAGAAAAGACTGACCAGTGAACAGCCTAAGTATCTGATCCTTAGTTTGTACTTGAAGTGAGTCACTTGTTGTTCAGGTAAGAAGCTGATCCACTTTGTCGGCTCATCGGTTCTCAAAATTTTCTTTCATTTTTTGTTTCTTTTTCAACTTGAACTTGTAAATTTTAGCAAATCAATCGATTAATTAACCTGCAAGTGCCTCCATTTAATCGATAAAATGTTCTATTCTGTGATAGTTTTAATCTGTTTGAGCTTCTCTTTCACTGAGGCTCAAAATAGAGTCAAATATTGTTACGTTTGCCGTTCACGTGGGCCTCTTGGTGACTGTACGTATAATCAATTGATTTGGATCATTTTCTTTTCTATTTTCATTTGATTTAATTGTTTTGTGTGTGTGTTGTGTGTTTTGGTTAATTGTTTTCTATCCTTTTTGTTGTATTTAAGGTGCTGATCCGTTTTATTTAAATCAAACGACGGTCAAAGATTATAAAGGAGTTGAGGCTACTCCTTGTCCATCGGGCTGGTGTGGTAAGGCCATTGAGGGTAAAGAGGGAGATCCGATTATTGCCACTGAACGGATGTGCCTTCAGCGACCTCCGACTGATCAGGAAGAGCGATGTGCCGAAACTCTGTACCAAAATAAACGGGAACCATTGTTCATGTGCTTCTGTCGAGGTCACCTTTGTAATCATGGGACACTTTCTGTCAACGCTAATGTCAACTCTTTGTCTATAGTCTTGTTGGTTTCTTTTTTGTACCAATTTCTGTCTTCTTGAACAGGCTATTGGATCGACAATTTATTTCATTATGATGAAAATTAGGAAATCTAATTATGATCTCTTCGCATTTAATCATTGTCACTTTAAACACTGAGGATTCTGACTATTAATCATCTCAGAGATTGAATTGTTTTCACATTTTAAAGGAAAAACAATCGGTGTCGATTGAATTTCATATTAACAATCATTGAGAATCGCACAATCAACAAATGATTGGAATTAACCGATTATTGTAAATTATTTTGATTCTTTTAAATAAAAAAAAACTCTTGACCACTGAAATGTTAATCATCAGCTCAAGTTTTATTTTCTCAGATAATTCAACTTGTTGAATCATCTTAATTGTGAGAAACAAGTTGATTGAAAAGAAATGAGTAGTTTGATTGAAATTAGAGTTGATATAAAGTTAAGATTATAATGACCAAGTCAACTTTTAATTATGAAAATGTTTCAATTCCAGTAAATTTACAAAATCATTTTTTTATCTTCTTTTTACTTTCAACCTCTTCAGCCTTTTCTTTATCAATTTCAACAATGTATTTATTAAGAGTTTCCTCATCTAGAGTCATCAAGGGTTGATTTCGCCTTAAAATGGCGACTTCCAAGTTTTTTCCTTGAACAACCTCCATCAAAGCACGTAGAGCCAATTTGATTGTTTTATCATCATCGGCAGCACTTTCCTTGCTATAATTTTTCTCCAAATACTCTTTCACGGTTTTACCATTTCTTCCGGTGGCATTGGCTTTCCATTCGTGATAGACACCTGAAAGTAGAGCCAAATAGAGATGAATTAATTGTGTCGACAAAAAATCAGTTGATCATTGATGGAATTAATTTTTTTTAAAGCTAACCAATGTCTCAGAGATTGAGAGTTAATCATTAGATCTCATTACAGGTCTGTTTTCTCATCATTGACAATAAAAAAAACCGCATGGTGTGAATAAAAATATGCGGAAAACCAACAATCTAACCCGAAAAGAATACAAGCTTTAAGATTATCTAAAAAAAGGGTTGATATTATACCTGAAGGATCTGTTTGGAAAAGGCGAGGTATGCCATCGTCATCAAAACCAGCGATTAGGCAAGAAATACCAAATGGACGACGACCATTAGATTGGGTATACTTTTGCTTCAATTGGGCAATGAAACGGGTAATATATTCAATAGTAACCGGATCTTCAACCGTAAGTTTGTGAGATTGACATTCAACTCTTGCTCGATCTATTAAAATTCTTGCATCGGCCGTTAATCCTGCAAATATAGATAAAAGAAAAAGAGATAATTATGTAAAGATCAATAAAACAAGATATCAGTCATAAGATGAAGATAGATTTCAGCGTTGGATTTAATGTAATCACTTTAATCATATTATAAAATTAAAAGCTCGTTAAGGTTTTCATCATTTAAGGAACAAAGCAGATGTAAAATAAAAGATAAATTAACTTACCGGCAAATGCCATTACACAATGATTGTCGATGAGACATATTTTACGAACAGTTCTTTCCTCTTGAAGTTTAGCAACCGATTTTTTTTCAACAGCAAGAACTACAACATTATCACCTCTGACACCAACCTGCGAATGAAGGAAACGGAAGCAAAGTCAGTCAATTTAAAGCACATGTAAAAAGGGGAAAACAAAAAAAAAGGGAGAAGGAGGATGAAAAGGAGGAGAGAAGAAGAAGATGAAGATGAAGATGAAAGATGAGTAACCAAAGATTAAACAAATGTATTGAGAGAATAATAATACAAAAAAGAAAAGAGAAAAATTCTTACCGCAGTTGAACCTTTTTTCACTGCTTCTTGAGCATATTCAACTTGGAAAAGATGACCATCAGGAGAGAAAACAGTGATAGCTCGATCATATCTTGCTGACCCCATCAGCAGTTAGTGTTAAAAACTTAATTAATCAATTTAAACCAAGTAATTAAACAAAAGGAGAAATTAACAATTTTGTCTCTTCTAAATCCAAATAGATGCAAGTCATTAGAGGGAAGGTAACCATGGAAACGAAAGCGAGACATCTGGAGGGGCGAATCGAAATGTCTTCGGTCACGTGACAAAAGCTAATTCTTCATAAAATCTTTGTTTATGTTTAGTCAATTTTTGGTTGTTGTCGATTTGTCATCATTTTGTTTGGAATCATTTTGTCTTTTTTTCCTTAATTTGGTTTAAATTGTTGCTCAATTATGTCTTCACCTCCTTTGGATCTTCCAACTGACCAACCTGCTGTTTCCAAACCTGACGAGGCTCCATTACCTCCTGAAGAAGATGAAGGAAATGGAGAAAATTCAATAACAACACCAGAGAAAATGAATGATGAAGAGTCTCCTTTACCATCGGAGGAGAAAATAGATGAACCATCTCCTGTATCACCAGAAATGGAAGTTGATGGAGAGAATAGTAAAATGTCTGATGATATTGATGCATCAGCTTCAGATTCGGCCACTTGTCAAGGTGGACAGTCAAGAGATCCCGACTCACCTGAACGAGAATTCAAACCATTGACAGATTTCTTGGTACAATTAGAAGATTATACACCGACCGTAAGTTTCTACATTTTCCATTTTCAATTTCGTTCTTTATTAACTTTCTTTTTCCATCTCCATCTCTCTCTCTCTCTCCCTAGATTCCTGATGCAGTTACCACTCATTATTTGAATACTTCTGGTTTCGAGACATCAGATAAACGTATAATTAGATTAATTTCCCTATCAGCTCAAAAATTCATCTCTGATATCGTCAATGATGCACTTCAACATTGCAAAATGCGTTCAGCGTCCAAAAAAATCACCAAAGATAAACGATATACATTAACCATGGAAGATCTAATACCCGCTGTGGCTGATTATGGAATTAATATCAAGAAACCTTTTTATTTCAATTAACCAACTATTTCTCTCTCTCTCTCACTTCTCACTCTCCTCTTTCTAAATTCTTTACATCTAAATAATTATTCAAACCAATCTCTAAATAAATTGATTACTCAATAACTCAATAATGTTACAAGATTTTCAAATAGTTTTACTTAAAAAGGAAAATTTATTTTAATAATGTAAATTATAAAGGAAGTTAGAAAAACAAAAATTCTCTGTTAATCAACCCAATGGATTTGATTTGATTTGGCAATCGATTGGGAAGAGATGACAATTGAAGATTATTAATGAATTCAAGTTAATGTTAAGTATTTTAATACAGTCGAAACTTGGTACGAGTTTTAGGTTTTGTACATAATAAAATTAACACAAAATTTAGTTTCGTTCAATTTGATGATGTGAACAGCGATTGAAAATATTTTTTTTTTCTGTAACATCTTAATTGTTAGAAAATGAGAAAATATTTAAAGATTAGATAGAAAGAGGGAAAGAAAAAATGATCGACAATTTTTGTAACCGATAAAAAAGAGATTGAATTGTTTTCCCAAAGAGAAAGTCCAACAATCAATCTGATTATTAAAGATTAGAAATTGTTTGATTTATTGTATATTCGTATAAATATGAAAATTTGATTGGGTTTGTGCTTCAAGATGTGGAATCAGGAGATATCTCCGTTCGGCACTGGTTCGGTTGATTCTTCGTTGGCCGTTTGTACACAATCTTTAACGTTTTTAGCTATTGAATCGTTATCAAGATTTGGTTGTACCGATTCATGGATGGCAACGTAAATTGCTTGTCCTTTCTCGTCGAAAACAGGGTATCCTGATTGACAATTAGGCAAATTGGTGGCAATATTATCAAAAGAATTTAGATATTAACATATTTTAGGTTTCAAGGTGTCAAATTTTTGTCCAATTAAGAATATAGTACGTACCTTGTAGGAATAATTGACCAGTTTCAGGATCAACTGATAGAATACCTTCAGATGGAATAGGAATTTGTGATTGCATCGAAGCATGAGAAACGGTCGATTCGAAAGCCATACCCAAGGGGTCACATGATGGATGAACAGTGACACTTGTTTGTGGATCAGAATGATCTTGATTTTCCATAACATTCTCTTGAATATTCATATTTGAGTTGATATTCATACTCATATTCGTATTCATATTCATATGCATATTCATATTACTATTCATATTATTATTCATATTATTATTCATATTCATATGATCAGATTGGTTAGAAAAAACTTGCATAGGAAAACCATGAGTTGAATCAAGTAAATCATTTTGTTCGGTCTCTTCTTCATTAACTGAATTACTAAACGATATCATTGGATCCAATGGTGTATGTAAAACAGAGTAACCACCTAAGAAAGGATCTTGATCAGCCATGACACCTTGAATATTCAATGCACTACTTTCCATGGGTACAACTTTAACCGGTGAATCCATGATTGGATCAAGACCCATGTACCCGCTGGCGGAAATACCTGCAATGGCCATGTTGGTTTCTGTACATGTTGGTTTAGATCGGGTACCTTTTTTTTTCGCTGAACCATATTGAGAATCAAGAGCCGCTTTCACATATTTTGACAGAACATCAGGATCAATTAAATTAGCGAATACATCAAGACCTTGAAGTCCATGAAATTCCAAACCATGATTGGTCATAAGTTGAAAAGAATTACATCTTTAAAGAGAAAATGAAGAGATTGGAGAGAGAGAGAAAAAAAACAAACATAAGAACAGAATTAATAAAAAATTTGAATAAGAACAAAAAAAAGACATTCTAATCATTGGTAAAATACTTTCATCGATAATTAGAGTGAAACTATTGTAGCATCAGAATCCAGGCAAATATTGATGAATAATAAGGATCAATAAACTCTGATATCTTCTGATACAAATAAACAAAAGTTATGAGCTTTAAAAGCGCCAATGAAACAATTTTACCATAGACAAAATTAGACTTACCTATAGTCACAAATGTTACAGCTAATTAGACAATGATCAACATGACTTATGAGATGTTCCAATAAAATTTGCTTCTCTGATTCAAGTTGAGTGAAACATAATCGACATCTTTCAATATTCCCATCATCTTCAAGTGCATGGTTATGTTTCCGGTGAAGAGATAAAGCCCCAAAGGTGGAACTACGAAAATCACATAAATTACATGGATAAGGTTTTCCATAAGCAGCATGGGTATTGAGCGAATGTCTAGAAGATAGAAAAGAGATTGGAATAAGATATAAGAAAAATTGTTTCAAATTGAAAAGAAGATGATTTAGAAGAGAAAAGAAAAATGTTACCTTTCCAAAATGTCAAAAGAGGAGCCAAGAAAATCACAAAATGTACATTTATATGAAATGTGTTTGGTGGTCAAGTGAGTGTTCAAACTGGCCTCTTTAAAATAGGTTGACCGGCATAAAGCACAAGCATATTTGCCACCTTCAATTATATTTGCGTGAGAGGTTAAATGATTATAAGCATCAGTTTCTTGATCAAAAAAGTGATGGCAAACTTTACATCCATAGACTATGTATCGAGTTAATTCAACTGGAGGCTCGTGAGTTTCATAAACATGCAACTGGTATTTAAACTTATTCTCAAACGTTAAATTACAATCATCACAAACACTTTTATGAGCAGCTGAATGAAGTAGTAACGTTTCTTGTTCCGAAGTTGTGAAGTCACATTCTTTGCACGTAAATGTTATCACTTTTCTAGGTTTTCGAGCTCTTAATTGCCTTCCACTCGTAGGTAAAGTGAATTCTTTGTCTTTTTCATCTTCTTCTTCGGGTGAGTTTAATTCAGGCTCCTCTTCAGGCTCTTCACTAATATCTATCAATGGTTTCCTTTGGGGTCGCTCACAAACATCAATCACCTCTTTCTCATGTTTCACTTTACCGGCAAGTTTTGATCTTATAAAACTTTCCGTATCGGTTCCATATCGACGGTATGATTTTCCTTTGAACAAACCTTTCCATTTGATCCTACCTTTTAGTGCATCATCAACAAATTCAGCAGACAATTTGTGAACAACAACAGAACACGGTTTACAAGCATACGCATCTGCTATGGGTGACATAGCTTTCAGGTCACTTTAAGCAAATTAAGACTGTCAAATATTGGAAAAAAATAATTTAAAAACATTCAGTAAACGGATTAATTAGTCAATCAAAAGTAAAAAACAAAAATTTTCAACGAGAAAAAAAAAACAACTGAGGTCAAAATAGAAAACAAGTTGTGCCATCTCGTAGAGAAAAAAACAACCAAATTAGACGAAAATCAAAATTTAAATTTAATTTTAATTCTCAAATTAAAAATAATCAGCTAATAGTTAATTACTTTTCTTATTCAACCAAAAAAAAATCCCACAAATCCAACGATAATTTAATACACAACAATTAGCAAACGAATTTGAGGAAAATTAAATGAAAAATTAACCAAAAATTTGCTTTTCGATTAAAACAAAAAAATAAGTTAACAAAAAGAAGCAAAGAAATGAAATTCCATTGAACTGATTAATGGAAATTCGTTGATGGTTAAAAAATTGGATGAAAATTGATTATAATTGCGAGAAAATCGATTGATTGGAAAAAATGAAAGAAAAGTTCTAAGATTTGAATTTACCGCGCAAACGAAAAAAAGGCGGATCGCTAATCATCTGCACCATTCGATTCCTTGTGAGCTATTGTGCTGCTCTTAGATGAATGATAATTTAAAATAATTAAGTGACTCTTTAATTGTGGTTAAAATCATTATCTTTAATTTTTACGGGTGAGTCACGGTCATTGTTAATCAGGATTATTGTGACTTGAAGTGGTTAATTAGTTTAACTAATATAAACTCTTTAGGTTGATCTTATAGTTTCCATTTAAAAAGATCCAAATTTACTCTTAACTCTTCACATTCATTTTTTATTTTCTCTTCTCAGGTTCTCAGTTTATATTCTGTGAATGTTATTTTCTCCTCATCACCATCACCATCACCATCATCATCAAATAACATCATCATCATCATCATCCTAGTCTTGTTTTCTTTTTTGTAACCATTTTTTGTTTCGCTTCATCATTTTATTTTTATCTTATAATTTTCTCTTTTCTTTTGTCTTTTGCTGGTGCCTATTTAATCCCATTAGTCCTGTTAAATATTTACAATTGTTACTATTACTGAAACCAAATTGTTTAGAGAAACAAAAAAAAGTGAGAAAGAGTTACCATCATGTCAACAAGCACCGGACCTTTATTTGCATGTACTCGGTGTAATTCACGGCATCCATTTGAAGAATTATCTTCCGGTCAGCAACTATGTAAGGTATGTAGGTTTCCATTTCAATTGAGATGGTCACTTTTTTCATCTTTTATATAAATTTGTTCAATCGTATACATTAACCAACCTGTCTATAGTTGATATATTGGTTATCACTATTTTTTATCATTATTTTTTTGTGGATAACATTGAATCTTTGCTTTTCATGCTTCTTGCTCAGTTATCTTATTTTCAATCTATTCTGGTTAAAGTACAAGAATAAACGTTGAACATCAAAAATGTTAACATGTCACTCTTTTTTTAACACTTCTATTTGTTCTGATTCAACAAATACTCTTGTATCTTTATTTGAATAACCTTTTTTTTTCTTCTCTTTCTCTTTCTCTCTCATGTTTTCGAATGTTTTCTTCTAATTGTAGGAATGTCGTGGAGCGTTGGTTAAATGTACTTATTGTCGAACAGAATTTCAACAAGAGAATAAATCTAATTTGAATACTATTTGCAAAAAGTGTGAACAAAACGTTAAGTTATATGGAAAGGTTGGTGTTGATTAAGATTTTTCTCGTATCAAATTGTACAGTTTAAAATTGCGATCTGTAATCTATCGTTCATTTTTTTTCTTCTTCCATACTCTCTTATCCGATTTTTACCTGGAATGATGATAATCTCAATAGCCCTCTGCTTGTGAATACTGTAACATCATAGCTGCATTCATTGGAAATAAGTGCCAAAGATGTACCAATTCTGAGAAAAAATATGGTCCACCCTTAGCTTGTGAACAATGTAAACAGAGATGTGCTTTTGATCGTAAAGATCCAGAGAGTAGAAAAAAAGTCGATGGTAAATTACTATGCTGGTTATGTACTTTATCATACAAAAGAGCTCTTGCCAAAGCAAAGCAAAACGACACTTCGATTCGTCACACTTCCATATCGGTTCATAAAAGTGGAAGCCGATCATCTTCATCAAACAGACAAAAGTAAGTTACGATTACACATTTATGGAAAAAAAATGAGATAATGAAACTAAATCTCATTGATTATTCTCAATTACATATCTAATTCTAAATAAATGTTCTCATTTAAACAGAGGAGAATCACGATCGCATCATCATCATTCTCATCATCACAGGTCACATCACAATAGTTCTTCAAATCTGATCGGTAATCCTTCTGGTTCATCATCAAACAATAAGAAACCTCGCCTTGAGATAGGAATTAAAACTTCCAATGGAAGTTTAAAGATTCCCTCAGTTACGACAACAAACACGGTCAACGAAAGTACTATGATGGATTTAAATAATAGCGATCATGTGGTTGCCGTTACACAATTAAGAGAGCAAATGGCATCGCTTCAGAAACAATTATCTAAAAAGGATCAAGAATTATTAGAAAAGGATAAAAGAGTAAGATAATCCAAAGAAAATTTAAACTAATCATATCCATTGGATTCTAATTTAACCTCTTCTTTCATAACTTATATCCTTTCTTCTTTCTTATTTTTTAGATTGCTGAATTAAGATCCCAATTAAGTCGAGAGGAACGTGAATGGAGAGAAAAATTGACAACCAACCAAAAGAGCAGCTCAGAGAAAACTACACAATTACAACAGAAAATATCTCAACTTCTGAAACAAAATGCATCTTTAGCTAAGGCGAGCAAAAAATCAATAAGCAACAACAATAACACTAATAATACACCAAGTGACAGTCCTATTCTATGATCGAGCAATTAAATTAATCAACAATTTAGACAATAATTCAAATTTAAGAGACCAAATCAACTACTATGGTTCAAACTTTGGTCTCTTTTCCTCTTTCTCCAAATACAATCCCTATTTTGTTTTGATCATTTTTCTTCTTCTTTTCATGATCATCTCTCTCTCTCTCTCTCTCTCCAACGACGATTCATTCCCTTTACAAGCGGCAACTCAAATTTAAGAACAATCCTTAATTGTTATGGACTTTCAACATTCATCTCGATAAATTAACTAATGACTGCAGTTTAAATTAATACATTGCGCTTGGAATCTACGTTACTAGACTAAATGGTTACCCAAGACAAACATTATTTTGGTTTTCATCAATTCATCAATAACAATATCAACGATATCTCATCGACCTCATCTTTAATTTCATCTACTTTCAGATCAAGATAATAGAGATATCAACATTTCTAGAGTTATTTTGATTGTATGAAGACATTAATCAATGTAATGTGGAAAAAAAAATTATCCATACCCACTCAAGGAGTTGAAAACTTTCAATAGTTGATTAAACTTTGGTTTAAAAAGGTTCATGAATCGAATCAGATAATTCAAATGATTTCATCATAATTGAATCAAACAATTGTCTTCATATTTTTAACCAATCATCCTCTTCATGCAACATCAATCAACAATCTGATCATTAATTATAATTATATATGTTATTACAATTTCAAATCATTTCTTGAATGGATAAAATTAATTTGATCATTATCTCATTGTTTTCATTTAATTGAAACATATTAATTCATTTTACAGATAAGCCTAATTTAAGTTGATGTTCAATTTGCATGATTAATTGTTAACATTTAAATAATTGGAAACAATAACAATCAACCAATTACAAATGGTGATTGAATAATAATTAGTTTTGAAATTATTTGTCGGATAAAAATTAAGACTATTAGAATTGTGGTCAACTTAATCGAGGCTTATCTGTAGCGGTATTTGAACATTTTTCGAGAAATTTAAATTGTGATCAATTGATTTGCTCTTAAATTGTAATTAGAAACCTAAAACCGTTCAATTCCTCCGCATGAAACAATTGAATTTTTTAATGTTTACACGACAAAGAGCACGAGATGAAGAGGTTAATGTGGACAAATACAGTGTATTTAAATTATTATAAATGTATATATGTAATTATGTATTTAATACCTGAATCAATAAAGTATTTTTATCAATCATTGAATTTGAATAACTGTTTTACCTCGTAAATGACCATCTTGAACATTTAAATAAGCTTGTGGTAATTGGTCAAAGGTGAATTTTTTATCCACGATTGGTTTTACTTTTTCATCTTCGACCAGTTTTTTCAACGTTAAAAGGCCACTTCGACTTGGATGATAGAAGGCCCATCGAATGGTTCGTCCTTCTGTTAGTCCATTAATTGTATCACGAGCAGCAAATATTAGATTAGAGGTTAAACCAAGTGCAAGTCCTTTTTCATCGATATTTTGAAGAAGAGGAGATGTTAAAGTGACATAGGCTGAGGTGAAACTCTTTTTCAAACATTTATAAGCAGTTTGGTCGATGGATGAACGATCACTTCGTTTAGCAAAATCGAAAACATAATCAAACGATTCAGTGAAACCAGATAGATCATTTGAACGATAATCAATGGCCTGGTCAACATCAGTTAATTCTTGAATCCATGGGATAGCATCGGATGAACAAGTTGTCGCTACATAAGATCCCCAATGTTTAAGAATTTGTATAGCGATCGATCCAACGCCACCTGATCCTCCAAGAACTAAAATTCTGTAGAAAAAAGAATCCACAATTAAAAACTGAAAACAAATATTTCGTTTGAAAGATTAATCACCTTTTTCCAGCACAATTTAATTCATTTAAACCTCCAAAGGTTTGAATAGCAGCGAGAGCCGTCAAAGAGACGTAAGGAAGTGAAGCAGCTTCATCATGATTCAAATTTCTAGGTTTCAGCGAAATCTGTTGAAACACAAGGAAATTCCCTGATAGATGGAGAAATTTAATATCCCGGATTAAGGTTTAGGATTAAGAATGGGAGAGCTAAGGTAAAAGTGGACTTTCAGTGAAAAGATTAACAGAAAGTAACAAGGTTAACACTAAGGTTAATGAAAAAGGAAATATTCCTCAAAAATGATTCCATATTTAAAGTAACAGAATAGAAAATTAATCTCTAACCTGAGAATCCTTGGCAATTGTATATTGACCATGAGTTCCTTGGCTATAAGGAGGAATTGCTCCCCAAACATGATCACCAATTTCAAGAGAATCAACTTTAGATCCTTTGGCAACAATGGTACCACTAAAATCACGTCCCAATGTTAACGGAAATCGATCATAGGAAACAAGAGGAGCTTTACATTGAGTTAATAGATCGATTTTCTCCAATAATTCATTACCATATCCTTTACACATGATAACATCTAATGGATTAACACTGGAACCATTCACAGAGATTAACACCTCATCTGGTGATCGTATAGTTGGAGTTAAAAGGTCATCTCTCAATCTAAGAGAATCTGTCAAATCAGATGAAAATCCATCAATTTGCCAAGCACTGTAAGTAGAAGAGGAACAGCAATTAACATTAATTGTCTTCAAAGATCCAAGAAAACATCTATTATTTAACAGCAATTTAGTCAAAGAAAACGCCATTTTATAAACAATAACAATAAGAAAAAAATTCATCAAAAAAATTGATTCATCGATTGAGTCGACATCTGATTGGTCGTTTGTTCATTTAACGGTGAAGCGGTTTTTTCGAATTTATGATTAACAATTGATCGAAACAATTAAATTCTAATCAATTGAAATAATTGGCTGAAAAAAAAGATTCTAATTTGATTATCGTAATTAAGTAAATATACTTTGGTTGATTCTCTTCTCCAATGATTAACAATTGATTTATAAAATGTTTTTCTTTGACTTTTCATGAAAGATGATGAACCAACTCAGTCTATTTTTGGTTCTCATCTAGTCAACATTAGGTAACATGGAATCAATTAGATTGTCATTGATTTTTAATAATTTTGTACTTTTTTTAAATTTTTTTACAACAATCAAGTTGATATTAGCATCTTCACCTGATCCACAATTACCTCAGGTAATTAAAGAACCAAATTTAGACTCGATCAAGTCAAATGGTAAAATCCGACTACTTGGACCTTGTCAATTGTGTCGAGAGGTTGTCAGATCTTTTGAATGGGTAAGTAAACAAATCATTCAATTGATTATTTTTCTAATTTAATCTGATTATTTTGATTACTATTAGTGCTTACGTGAGACTGATTACAGTTCTGTTACTCACGAATCATCTAAATTAGATGATTACAAAGATTCGGATAAAAGATTGGCTCAGATTATTGGGTTACTGTGTTCAGATTCAAAGCAATATGAAGATCAGGTTTGTTTGGATTAGCAATAGATTCATTATTAATTCAAATGAAATTTATTCTAATTCGAGTTAATCAATTTTCCATCAATTTCTATTATAGTGTAAAAAATTTTCCATCCAGCATGAGGAGATAATTAATCAATGGTGGTCAGTTGAACGTAAGGAAGGAATCGGCATCTATGATTACCTTTGTATAGACAAAGGTAAAGTCTGTTGTCCTGATGGGATGTTTGGACCTGATTGTTCACCTTGTCCTGGTAATTAATAAATTATCTTCTATCATCAATCAACAATTAAAGGGAAACGAATAAAAAAAATCAGAATAAGAGCCAGCATACGATTTAGTTAAGCAGGGAAAAAGATCATCAATCAATCAATGATAACTAACAATCGAATGTGTTAATTGCTGGAAATTCAGTCAGAATTTATATAATTAATAGACAATCAGGTAACAATAACAAGTAGAATAATCAACTCGGAGTGTTAACTGTTGTTCATCAGCAGTGATATCGATTAATCAGAAACAATCAAAGATGATTCTGAGGGGGAGATATGTAAGAATTGACAATTTAATAAGAAAATTATATTGATACATTTTGAATTATTCAGGTAATTTGATTATTTTTTTATTCTTCACGATAATTGTTGATAATCTATGTGAATAATACGATACAATATTATATTGATTTCGTGATGATTGATTGATTATTGTTTTTCTAAAGATAATTGTTTAATCAATTGACCCTTAAATTGTTGTTAAATTAATGTTTCAATTTCAACGGATCTCCAGGTTACCCTGAAGACATTTGCAATGGCCGTGGAAGTTGTAAAGGCAATGGCACTCGAAAAGGAAACGGTCAGTGTGTTTGCCATATAATGTACAAAGGTGATCTTTGTGAGAAATGTGGAACCGGAACTTACGTCATTTCCGAGAAAAATGACCTCCAAGAGTGTGAAAAATGTGACAAATCTTGTCTCGGGCAATGTAAAGGTTCCGGTCCAAAAGGATGTCATGTTTGCAAGGAAGGTTACACTTGGGACTCTGATTATGGTTGTCTCGATGTCGACGAGTGTATTGAGTTACCTAAGAATCCATGTAAAGGTAACACATTCTGTGTCAATACCGATGGTTCATATTTATGTTATGGTAAATTGTTTCTCTTTAAATTGTTTCCTCTCTTTGATTTAATCAAAACTAATCAATCAATTTAATCTTCCCTTCAGAATGTGATAAATCATGTGATGGATGTCATGGTGATGGTCCCGATAGTTGTACCAAGTGCGCTAACGATTTCACCCTGAAAGACGGAATTTGTGTTGACACCAAGCTACGAGATCGAGAATCGAACCTCGAAAAGTCCCGTTACATAACCTACGTGGGCTTATGTTTCGCTACTTGTATAATTTTCCAGAAAAATATTTACATCGCTTCGGCTATTGGCCTATTGGTTGCTCTTTACATCGGAGCGGCCGAATACACGGTCAGAGAAATAGCCTCATCTCCTCATCCTCTTGAAAACGCTGTTAATAAATTGTTTGGACAATGAGGATCATCATCATCATCTAATTTTAATTGTTTACACTTTTTTTTTATTCAATAACACAATCAACTGATTCTGTTTACATGGTTTCTGATTCTCAGTTAATCTAAACAAAACATCTCAATAGTTTATATCAATTCCTCCCTGTGATTATATCCTTGAAGAATCATAAGAAGATGAAATTAACTGGATCAAATTAGATCAGTTGATGATTAAGTTAAGAGGAAAAAGTTTCTCAAACAATTTAGGAAAATTTCATGGTAGAAATCAGTTGATGATTAATTGAACATAAACAGAATCTCATGTTATATCCCAACCTTGAGAATTGATGACGAAAGAATTACGTTAAATTCAAGGTTAATTGTAATTATCATAGGAAAAGATGAGCTGCTAAATTGTTCTAGTTGAAAACAATAATCATACGATTAACTTAACATCTCATTCGGATATTTATTCAGTTCTGATTGTTCACATTAGAGTAAAAAGTAAATAATAAGCTTAATTGTTCCAAATTGTGAACCAATTAAGAGTAAAAGATGAAAAAAAGCAGATTCGATTGTTTAGAATCTCAGTTTATCTAAACAATTAAACGAAATAACCGAGGAAACTAATCAATGAATGGAAATTACAACTGCCACACCTCTGATCATCTTATGATTTCCATTATTAGATTACAATTTATCTAATTTTTTTTCCATCACAATATCAAGTTGATAATATTGATACGATTAGTTAATTGTTGCGACAATGAATGTTTTTAGAAACATTAAAAACATTTAGAGTTGAATCCAAGGAAAAATTTTTTCACTTCTTTTCTCATCACAAGGTAAACCAGAATATTTTCCCTTCTTATCAGATAAACATAGATTCAGAGATCCAGAAATTCATCTCATCATAAAATAAATTCAAACGAATTCAATTACATGGTAACCAAAGAGTTTAAACAACCAGGAAGAAAAAAAGAAAACGTAACAGCAATAACATTAACCTTTTCCAAGACAAAAGGAAGAAGAAAAAAGTTGATTAACCCAAACTCTTAATTCACATTAATTCTTGAATATAAATCACGACCATTAGAAATACTCAAAAATACTCAAAAAAGCTCATCGCCAATTAAACCAACCAATTAATTAGCCAAAAAAATAATAATCAAAACGATGAAAAAAAAACATAATCAGATTAAATTGTCATGATGGAAAAATTAATCTTTCCAATTTTCCAACCAAAAAAAGGAATCCAAATGATGACACACATTAGATAAAGCGATCCAGTGACTCTCGTGCTGATGATGGTTCTAAATTGTTACAATTAAATAAATAGAAAGGAGTAAATTGATGACAATCAATAAGAACAACAACAATTAAAGGATTGAGTGAAAGAGAAAAGAAAATGACTGACATTCAGAAGGCGGAGTTTAGAACATGTTATCAGGATTCTAACCAATCAGGAGAAAATCACCTGATGTTGTTTTCGTTTTTCTCTTAGTCAGAAAATGGAATCAAAGAGAAAGTTAATTGTTGTTTTCTTTTTCTGGTCTCATCTTAATTTAATTTAATTCTGTGTTAATTTAATTCTTTGATTTTTGTTTTCTTCGCCATTGATTTTGCTTGTTTTCAAATGATGAAAACTGGTAAATTGGTTACAAATGGTTTGTTCTTACGTGAATTATTGAGAAGCTCAACTAATCGGTTCAATTTACCTTGGGATAAGTTGATTAAACGGTTAACCAAATCTGATAATTGGAATAACGATGTTTCTATACAGTCAAAATTATTCTCGGTTAAAATTACTAAACAATTGGATGAAAGGGTTAAAGATGAACAATCTGGTGTTAACCCTGAATCTGATGAATCGGTTGCAATTTCAGCTAATGAAGATTTGAATAGCCAATTTATTGAATGGATGCAAACTGAAGGTAAGTTTTTCTCTTTCATCTAATGTAATCACTTGTTGATCTTTTTTTTTATTAGCCAATTTACTTTAATTGATTGTTATTTGACTCATTTTTTTGTCTATTTATTGCTCTTACAGATTCTACATCCTCCCCAGCGTCACAATCTTTGCCTTCATCAACACCTCCACCTTCATCCTCGTCTTCATCTTCACCATCATCTAGTGATAAACAAGAAAAAACGGTTCTCTCACCTGATGTTACTTTACCCAGGTTAAGTCGTAGCTCAGTGGCCAGTAAAAGTCGTCAATTAATAGTCAGTTTGTCACAAGCTAAAACACCAATTAATCAAACAGTTGCTCTTCAAGAGCTGTGTCGTCATCTCATAAATTATCCTGAAGCTTGTGGATTCAGCCTTCAGGAAGGAGCTTCAACGTCCATCATTAAATTAGCTAATGAAACCAAAGATAATAAAGTGAAAGCCTACGCTCGCCAAGCGCTTGCTCTACTTGGATATGCTGCACCACCCAAAGGTCGAGGTATCCGAATATTAAGTATCGACGGCGGCGGAACCAAAGGAATCGTAATCATTGAAATCCTGAGACAATTGGAAAAAGTCACTGGTAAACCAATACATCAACTGTTTGACCTGATTTGTGGTGTTAGTACCGGAGCAATTATAGCAATGTTACTTGGAGCTCTTCAAACAAACATCGATGAGTGTATCCGATTGTATCAAAAGTGTTCCGAGCAAATGTTTCAAAAGGATGTCCTTCGAGGTGCTGGTCGACTTCTTTGGACTCATGCCTATTACGATACTGCAGTTTGGGAGAAAATATTACGTTCTGTTTATCCGGAAAAAGCTTTAATCGAAACGGCACAAAAAGAAAATATGCCGAAACTTGTCACCGTTTCCGCATTGATCAACACTCCAAGTATTCAGCCTTTTGTTTTTCGTAACTATAACCACTCGGATAAATTTTTAAGCTACTATGAGGGTTCATGTAAATACGCAATTTGGCAAGCAATTAGAGCCTCAGCTGCTGCTCCAGGTTATTTTGAAGAGTTTCTTTTGGACAATTATGTCCACCAAGATGGTGGAGTTTTAGTAAACAATCCGACGCCCGTTGCCATTCACGAAGCTCAACTTCTTTGGCCTAATGAGCCTATTCACGTATGTGTCTCAATTGGAAGTGGAAAATATTCACCATTAAACCTGAAGAAAGAGGAAAAAGCCGCTATAACCAGTTTAAGAACAAAAATAAGTCGAGTAATCGATTCGGCAACTGACACCGAAGGACCTCATCGATTGTTACAAGATCTTCTCAAACCTGGAACTTATTTCCGTTTCAATCCAGCCTTATCTCAATGGTACTCACTTGATGAGAATCGTCCCGAGAAATTAACACAAATGCAAACCGATGCTACGATGTACCTAAGAAAAAACGAATACAAATTGAACAAAGCGGCAAAAGCACTAAACGAGAAAAGGTCACCCTTTCAATTGATTATGGATCAGTTGAGATCTGATCTCAAAGTCTAATCACCAATAATTTATATAAATATATTAATGCAATTCTAAATCCTCTGTAATATCAACCATCCACAATCAGTGTATTATATTAATTTAAGAATTTGTTGATTGTAAATACGATAATTGAAACAATCTATTGTACGTTTAGACAATGTTTTTTTTAAAGCAATAAATCAAAGTCCATCTTAATTGTTATATATATAAGTTAATTTGATAAACATTGAGACAATTTACAAATTGTGAACTTGCATTTTCTTTATTTTGACTCGATTTACATTAAATAAAAGTTGAATTACTTGTTGATTAGTTGAAGAGTCGATGATCAGAATCATGAATTTACTTCAAGTTAGTCAGGGGAAAATATCACATTAAAAGAAAACAAAAATTAAGGAAAATCAGTGAAAATAATTAGTTGATTATCGGTAATCGATTGATGAATATGCAGATGAAATGATGATGGTTGAGAGAGAGAGAAAATAACATAATTAGAAAAGAAAATTAAAACTTTTAAATGCGATTAAAAAGAGAAACTAGAATCATTGGAATGGGTTTTAAGTTGGCAATTTGTTGATTGTCATTGATTAAAATTCAATTGCTGATTACACATTGATTGCGATTTGGAATGGAAAGGGGAAAATGAGCAGAGAAAACAAAAAAAAACAATTTGGTGTAAACGAAAGATGAACAATTAAGATAGATTTTGATTCGAAATTAACAAAACAATTAAAATCAGAGGAGGAAATAATCTGAATGACAATGAAAAGGTGATGAGCTGATTACATCAATTAACTTAATTACATATTCAAGTAGAATCTATTTTGATTGCTAAGAGATTGAGAAACAAACGTAAATAATTAAAAATTGACAAAAAAATTAAACACAGCAATTGATAGTTAACCGGATTTAAATATAGTTGTGGGGTAAGAAAATTTTGTTGATCAGTCAATTGAAATGCATTAAGTTAGTAAAGTGTATAAATATAAATTTACCGTTAGGAGAAGTGTAAATATATGATCTGATTGTTTTCTTGTAGAATCATTTCTACAATTAGTTAATCATTTCATAATAATTTAAAAATAATCTATAAATTGTAGATTACATTTCTCCGGACGGTTTACAATTGAAAAATTTAGATAGTGATTGAAAAATATAAGATGATAATTGATTTGCAGAATCATTAATGATAATAATTGTTAGTAAAATAATTTTTTTGTTTCAATTGTGAAAGTTATCAAAACTAATTGTGTGTGATTAACTAATTAGGTTAAATTGACTGTTGAATAATTAAATATGACTGAATCTTTTAGATACTTGATAATTTGAGTTTATCAATCAAATTAAATTGGTATCAATAAAATTAGTATGAAAATAGTAGCTTAATAGTTGAATCAAATTAATGATTTGCAAATCATCATCATTGTTAAAACTAATTGTAGTTAAATTTAAGTTAAATCGCCTCATGTTTATGTTTATCTGACACTTAGAGTAGTTTGTATAAGATGAAATTGACATCGGATTAATTATTAGTTGCCTTTGAATTTTGTGACTTGGTAATTGTGATAATTATTTTGCTTCAAATTTATAATTAATTGTCGTTTGTGGGTAAATTGTGACTTCTAGTAAGAGAGTCATAAGGAGCTTGTTTTGGTTTTTTCTTCCGAAAGTAAAGCGGCCAAAGGAACTGTTCCGTCTTGAGATTGACCTTCAGTGGGAATATCCAATAGAGTGACTTTAGGATCTTTAATTTTGAACCAAACAGTCTTGTGAGGTGATGATGAGCCCGAGGGAGTATTGTAACTATCAATACATTGACTGGTCTGGGAGATGGGAGTTGATGGTGAGCATGAGGATGATTTATGACAATCACAGTGATGATGATGGTTTCGTTCGTTGGGTTGAATTGATGAGTTGGTTAAATTTAATGTCGTTGGTCTTTGAAGTCCTTGGCTAGTAACTAGATTGAAAGTTACCGTGTTCGGATTGATCACATCGACACAATCACCTTCACCAGGATCGAAAGATGGATTCACAGAGGATGAACTGATTGAAGCACTAGACGAGGTTCGATGGTAGGATCTGTATATTCTTGGAGATGGAGCATGACTTTGAGCTAGAAAATCACTGTCAGTACTTGTAGTTGATGATTTACGTCTATCAAAGGTAATATTGTAAGAGGAGTTCGGGTTATTTTTGAGATCACTATTCTTGGTCACTTGGATGTAATTATTGGCACAATCAACATCGTTCGATCCATTACTGGTTATCCGTTCATTATTATCAGCATAAGCGTTTAATGTTGTCATCAACGAAGGTCGTAATGAATTTTTTGTTGTTCCATGGTACGTTGCATGTTTAGCGTAGATTCCACCGACACTGGTTCCATTAGATGAACCCTTCCTATCATAGATACCATGGTGATCATTTCGAGACTCGATTGGTGAGTTTCCACCTTTCTTATCAAAAATACGAGATCGTAAATCCAATCCAATTGAACCAGCCAATTTTATCCCAGCTTTAATAAAGGAGCTTTTTTTGGACTTTTTATCTGAACGATGATAATTTGTTTCATTTGTATAAGTGCCAACATTACAGCCTTCGCCTGAATCGAACAAAGAAACGAAAAGAAAGGTAAGAGATTCCATTAGATTGATTTAAAAAGAAAAAAAAATCAGTTATTTACAAATATGGAAAAGGGAAATTGTTGTTTAATCCTCACCATTAAATTTAATTACAGTTACTTACTCGAGTCATCAGATGATATCCTTGACGGAGTGACAAGTATTCTAGATTTATCCAGATTTGGTGCACTTTTTGAACCTTTTATTTGAGCGGATTGATCAACGAAAACTTTATGCGGATGTAAAGTGACCCGTTCTTTTTGATGGCAACTACTTGGTCCCCATGTTTTTCCTTTAGGTCCACTTTGGGGAACTGGGAAGAAGAGAAAAATAATTTAGAATCAAGATGAATAATCTTGAGGAAAAACAGGATAAAGCAAATAAATCACTTACGAGCATAAGCTCTGAGTCTAAGAACTGAGGGAGATGAAGGAGGTGATTCCGGGCTAGAGGGTGAACATTGTAAACGATAAGGTGAAGGGTGTTCAGGTTGGACTGTTATGTTGTGTCTGAAATCACTCGGGGTGCTGATAAACGCATGCTGCCCAGCACCGGAAGATTTCAACAGTTTTATCAACTTTTTCTCGGCAAATTTTCCTTTCCTTCGTGTCGGTACAGGTAATTGTTGCGTAGCAATGATGATATTTAACTCTCTTAGTTGTCAATCAAATAGCAAAGTAGATAAGCACCATGAAAGATTTTTTATATATATAAAGTGAAAAAGAAACAAGAATAAATAATCACATGTTAGTTCTCTTTCTTTTACAATTAACAAGTAAACAAGAAGAATCATAATAATAATTATGAAAAGAAAACGATCATTTTGATTGAATACCTTTCCAATAATTGAAATTCTCGTTCACGAATCTCCTTTTCTCGCTGACGAAGTTGCTCATCTTGAATTTTCTGCCGAGTTATTGCTTTCGATATTTCTTCTTCACGATTTCGTAGTTCTTTTTCTTTGCACTTTAATTGTTCTAAAATCTCTTTGATTTCATTTTTCCAGCTATCCTGAAGTTCATCAAATGATTCTTGAGTTGTTACAGTAAACTGAGATTTTGATATGCTTTCCAGCTGATTTAAAATATCCCCAAAACTTGGCCTAGAATGTGAATCCGTATTCCAGCAAACTGTAAATAGAGGACAAGATAAATAAATGATTAATTTGTGAACCAATTATAAAGGTAACAAATTTAAATAAACATGATTATCTCACGATTAAATAATATTAATATCACAATCAAATATACAAAAACTCATCGATTTAAATTCATAATTATGGTAAATAAAATATAAAAACTGTCACGAATTAAATATCAACTGGTTGGATTTTGTTTGTTTCATCATTTGTAATTAAATCTTCCTAATATCAATCATTATCATGAGAATTAAGATAAATAATTGATACTATTAAGCTAAATTAAGATGATTAATAAAGAGCTGATTAGATAATCTTAATTAATCGACAATTTAAAACCTGGTTCGATTGAGTTCAATTTTTTTCATATAACAATTGAATAGTTGAAACAATTAATATGTTTTCTAGACAAAATATTATCATGGTATCAATGAAAACAGAGAATCTAGCAAAACATGATAACGAAATATAATCTCAAAATTTCATATAACCAAGAAACTCGTTTCAGACTTTATTGCTTCATGAAGGATAGGATTAAGATTTCATGGATAAAAGAGTCGGTGTGTTAGCCAAAAAAAATGCAAATGAAAAGAAATGAACACTAAAGATGAAAATGATGATGAGATGATAAGATGAAGAGGCAACTTCGGCCTTGGTGATGTCGATTGTGAAAAAAAAAGAAAACTGAATGATTACTGGAAGACCTGAATTCAATTCCGGAAGATGAAAGGGGATAAATATGAAGATAAAGAAGATGAGAGAAGGATGAGAAAAAAGCAAGTTCAAATGCCAGGAGATGAAATGAAAAAAGAGGACGAGTTGTAATGAAATAGTTAAAGGGAGAAGTCATTTCAATCTAATATACACTAAATTATTTACACGTTAATCCTATTACAAGTTAATTCGCAATAATATTTAACAATTAGTTGGTTGATTTTGTTTAGTTTTGATCATGAGCAAGGGGGAAGTAGATAACAGGGATATTATGGTAATAATATCATGTTGGTAATAAGTAAATTAAAACGAAATCATCATCATCAATCTTCAAATTGTGAACAATTCAAACTGTTCAATCTAAATGATAAATATGAACTGAAATGAGGCAAGAAAATTTATATAAAAGCGACTGCAAGGAAACATGAATTTTAATAGACTATTCCAATGGTAATAATCATAATCATCATTAATGTAAAATGATAATAATGATAAAAGAAAAACGTATTATTATTATTGTCAAGTTAATTTAATGAATGAAACTTGTCAATCGAAGTAGGAGAACATCTTAATTTTGATTAAATCAAATTGTTGTCACAATTAGTTTAACCCATTAATTTATTTAAGGTAATCGTTTTCTATCATGATAATTATTCAATTGATTGTTAGATGAGAGAAAAACTAAACAATCAGTTTAATAAAAATAATAATAATTGTTAAGGGATTAGGCTTTATTTGTGTTGTAATTATCTTTAAATATACGCGCTTAGAACACAGCGACACCTTTGTAATCATTTTTACGTAAACTCTTGTATATATTAAGGGTGAATTGGATTGACAACTCAATCCACTTCCGAGTTACCCTTTAATATACAATTACCCTTTGTACTTCAATTATGTTTCACTAATCACCTTAATTACTTTTGATTCAACCTTTACTAACCTCTAATCCTATCCAATAATCATTAAGCTTTTGTGTACCTTTTGAAATAATTACCTTTCGTTTATTAAAATCTACATTTCAAACTGATTCGATCTATTGTCAATGTTGTCCTTACAAATGGTGGAGATGCCTCGTGTTTCAGTGAAGTGTTATTTTGTCGCAGTGATCAGGCGGTGCTAAAGATTAAGGTTCAGTTTTGGATTGGATGAAGTTACTTCATCCAAACCTTTTGACCTTCATCAACCAGCAATAACAAAGGTTAGGATAAAGTTACTTTATCCTATAACTTCAATTGAGAGATAGAGTTACTCTATCTCAGGTGCACGTGTCTTAGACAATAAAGCTATATATGTATTGGTAGGTTTGGAAGGTGAATTCAGGAAGAATCAACCAAACCCAAATAAATATAAACCTTTATCAGTTTTATATTTCCAATTGAATTTTCTGAAACCACGTTTTCAAAATCACAAAAAAAAAAGCCAAATATCAAACTCTCATTCATGAGAAATCAAAGTCAACTTTAAAGTCACAAGTATAAACCAACTATTAATCATCAAAATCTACATCATCTTTACAAGTCACAAGTTTGAACATTACTCATCAATTTAAAGAGATAAAAAGCAATTGTTAATCAAATACAAAATTCATTGTATTAAAATGCAAGCCAGTGAAGGTAGCTCATCGTCGTCTCAAAGGCTAAAAGCCGCGATTGAGGGACTCAATCGCGAGCAATTAGTTACAGCAGCAAATGAATGGGGAATCATCAAAGTGAATAGTAAAACGAATGAGATGTTGGGACAAGAGTTAATCGAAGCTCATGTTGTTCAATATTTATACGAAAACGCCGATATTCCTGATCAGATCGATATAAAGAGAGATGTTCCAATAAAGTGGCAGGATGGTATAAAGTTAAGAAGAGATGGTTATACCTTTGAAACGTTAACAAGGTTAATTGAAGCAAAGGTAACAGCTATTGAATCTTTAAGTTTATACACAAGAGATCAATTCATGGATCTTGAAATAAGTTTACCGCAAGCAACAATGTTGGCAAATCAATTCTCTACAATGGATCGATTTTCAAGAATGAATTTCAGACCCAACAACGAAAAGGAAAACAAATTATCAATGGCAGCGATGTTGGCTCGTGATCGTTTAAATAAGAGAGAATTCCCGTCAAGAAATTGTACGTTTTCTGAATTTCTCGAAGCAGTTGAATATGATTTGAGAATTTTAGATCCAACGAAAGAATCGTGGATCGAATATACAACAGTTTTACTACAAGGTGAACCGAGAAGAGTGGCTGAGTCGCTAAGACAAAAATCTCCATTTTTATCTTATAATGAATGGAAAGAAGCAGTTCGAGGATCAACAATATCAACTTCGGATGTAACTGAAGCTTTGTATGTTATTCTCCAAAAGAAATACATGTTAACAGAAAATCCTATGGAATTTTTCAAGAAATTTGAAAGTGCAACAAAAATCGTCTATCCGAATGTGGATGATAAAGTGAAATCGCTTTTATTAGCTACAACACTTCCAATTGATCTTCAAAACGAAGTCATTCCAGAAAAGATTGTGATGGATTTAGAAGCGTTGAAAAGCAAAATAATTGGGTATTGGCAGAAAGTGAAAAATTTGAATAAAAGTACAAATGTCAATGAGTCACGAACTCAAGGGCAAAATCAACAACAACGACCAATATCACCAAATTATAAAGGGTCAAGACCTTGGGGAAGTAATCAAGGTTATCAACCAAAAGGTAATCAAGGTTATCAACCAAGACCCCAAAGTTCAAATGGTTATGTTAAATACTGTCCAAGGTGTAATAAAAATGGTCACAATGAAGCAAATTGTTGGAAACGAATGGAAGAAGAGGGACAAAAGGTTCCGAATAAACAAGAACAAAGTTCTAATCCAAATCAAGTCAACAATCAAATCCAACAAACCAACAATCAACAACGAAACTATCCAAATCATAATCAATCAACTAACCAAAGGCAAAATAACGTGAGTTATGCTAATTATGATGATCAAGTTAACGATGAAGATGATAAAAATACTATGGGAGTAGCGAAGTTGTTCAGTGCTACCAGATCATCGGATGACGGACGTCATCCAATGATCGATATCAGGGTACTGAACAACCAGGTAACAACGATAAGAGGTCTCATTGATACCGGAGCTTGTACGACTTTAATTAATTTCGATATCGCAAGTAAATTGGGATTTCCAGCTTATCCTTTCAGTCTCAAGTTTCAAGCAATTGATTCTTCTCCTGTTCAATGTGATGCTTTTATCCCGTTACAAGTTTATAAAGGGAATGAATCTACGATAATGGCCGCTTATGTGATAAAGGATCTATCGAATGATATTATCATTGGTGAAAATATCATAAAGTACACAGAACTTATTATCAAGGCAAATGGGCCAAAGAAACCGTATCAACTATTACAGTTCAACAATAATCAAAATTATGAATTAATTATCCAACAACCGAATCGAAATGATTTCGAAAGGTTAATTGTCAATTGGTATGGAGAGAAAGCTGACATGTCCAAAATTTTCTATTTACCTCAATCATCAAATGAAAGTTTACTTGAAGAAAGAGTCTTCAGGATAAACACAGTGAAATTTGTGGAAACTGAATATCCAGAAGAAAAAGATAAAATGATTAATCTGGTGGAAGAGTTTAAAGAAACTTCAATCGATCTTCCAGAATTTGTTCCCGATATTAAACAAAAATTATGGACTCAAATTAATCCTGAATTGAGTGAAGAAGATAAAAGAAAAATTTATCGAGTGTTAATCGAATCATCAAATTCATTTTCGAAACATAAATTCGACATTGGATGTGTTCCAGCCTCTGTCACAAAATTTAAAATCGATATTGGTAACAAAGAGATTCCAAAATCAAAACCTTTTCGTTCAAGCGAGAAGATGAAAACCGAAATTAGAAAAATAATTAAAGAATTCAAAGAGAATGGTATTATTGAGGACTCCGATATGGGTGGAGGTGCTCCAGCCTTCGTAGTCCCCAAACCCGATGGTACCTGGAGGATGGTCACTTCGTACATCGATTTAAATAAAATGGTAAACAAAAGACAATTTCCAGTTCCAAACATTGATGATGCCATCAATCAATTGAAAGGAAACAATTATTTCACAACATTGGATTTAGCTCAAGGCTATTACCAATTAGAAATACCTGAAGAAGAAAGAGACAAAACGAGTTTTGTAACTGAAGATGGATGCTATCGATACAAACGTTTGCCAATGGGTTTAGCAGACGCACCTTCATATTTCGTGGAAGTTATATGCAAAATCTTAGGTGAATT